TATATATATATATATATATAAAAAATACTTTTTATACAACAGGAAATGGAATAATAGAAAATCGTTTTTATCTTTAAAAGTTGAAAAACACATTTTATTTCACAAGTTAGCAGAAATTTACTAAACTCTAAAAAAATTTTGATTTGCTTCCATCATGCCTCCTTGTAAGCAGATTGTTTTGCCAGCACTGATCCCGTCAGTCTGTAGGACGAGTTAATACGTTTGTACCTGCACTGGGATAGGATCAGGTGCAGTTCAAAAGCTGAGTAGAAAAAAGTTTTGAAGTCCCCCACCTTAAGAGAGGGACCCTTGGACAATCTATATGCTAAAAATACATTCCACTCATTATTCTAGTAAATAATACTTAGTGGGAAGTCTGGCAAACTTTTCTATGGTACAAATGAGAGAGTTTTTTGTTTGATTGGTTTTTGGAGTAGATTTTATATGAATGACCATAATTGAAGTTTTACTTGTTTCTGTAAAATGAAAATAACCTAATTTACTCATCTGTGCACCAGGGTTTGTTTTTTTTCCAGACTTCTTGTGGCTGATCAAACCTTCCATAGGCCAGCAATAGAAGCTGTCTAGTCAGTTTTCTTATGAGTGTGGTTCTGTTTCAATCTCTCCATCAATACTTGAATCTAAAGGAGAAAATAAATGAAATGGGCCAGTGTGGAACCTGATATGAAGGAAGCAGTCCTTAGAAAAACTATTCTGCCTCTAGAATTTTCTTTCCTGGAAGGCTTCATATTTGGTACCAAGTTTAGTTAACAGATGTCTGATTTATCAGCCTAATTTCTACTCTCCTTTGCTCATACTGCACACACTCTCAGTTAAGTCCTAGTTTAATTGCTGCCATGAGCAGTAGAAGTGTAAAATTATATATATATACTAGTAATAGATATTTACAGAGCCCTGTTAATTTTTTTCCAATAGCAGTTAGTAGCAGAAGATACCAAAAAGAGACGAAAAACCTGCAGTTGTAGAAATTATATTTTTTTTGTTCCTGTGGATGGATTGTCCTCTCCTGAGGAGCTCAATGAGAGTAGCAGCAGTTGATCAGAGCCATATAGGCTGAACTGAATATTCAGGAGACATCATGTTGCAGCTGTTGACTTTGCTGTTATTCTAGAAACAGTCTCTCTGCCTCCATGAAAGGATCCTCTGCCAGCAGAGAATATGTTACCTTTCAGTGAAAGTGAATTAATCCTTTAATTACAAGATGAAGTTTGTCATGCTTGGTAGCTACTGTGTGTAACTGTTCTCAGATTAACACACTTCTGCAGCTCACACTGTAGTAGTTTTTTTTTTTTACTGTTGCATAAAATGGAGTATTTTGAAAATATAACTTCTGATCAAACTCTCTTGCTAGGTGCTTATTTATTATGCTTGAAATACTTGTAAATTGTTGTTTAGATCTGAAGGAGGGTTGGGAATCATGCTGGTACCCATCAGAATGGCTACAAAAGACTCATAAAGCATTGTAGCTGTTGGGAAAGCATTAGTTTACCAAGTGTCTTGTGGTTTTATTGGGGAAATAGAGCAATGTGTTTGTAGGAGGCTGTTTGAAGGGAACTGTTCTCTACTGTTCTCTGGTTTTCAATCCAGCAGTCAATATTTGTTGCAGAGGGTGCTCCTTGCCTGCCAGGAGGGCCCTCAGCTCCATCTGGTGTTCTTTGCTCACCATTCAGCAAGATAAAGTAACTTCCTTTGCTCCTTTTACTTCTGTTACTTCCAGTGGAGGGAAATTACAGTTCCCAAAGGTGAAGGATGTATCCTGCTAATCATGTATTGATGTCATCTTCCAGTTAGCTTTTGCCTCTGGGGTACTTGCCTCCACATCTCCTGCTGCAGTGTTGATCCCTGAAAGAACAGCTAACATCTGCAGCAGGCTTGCAGAACAAAATGCTTCTGGTTCATTGTCATGCCATACTTTTTGTAAAGTGCTGTTATTGACAGAGGATGGTGAACCTTTAGTCCTGCTGCTGTAGCAGCTTGTGAAGTTGTTTCTGCAGGCATGGTGATTGGTTAGAAAGATACTTAATGTGATAGAAAAGAGGGAAGTAAGAAGGGTTATATATTCACAGGTCTGACAGAACCTAGATACATTTCATGGCTTTATTGTCTGAGCATCTAGCTGGAAATAAAAGTCATAGAATGGCACGTTGGATTGGAAGGGACCTTAAAGGTCATCTAGTCCAACCCTCACATCAATGGGTAGGGACATCTATCTACAAGATCAGGTCACTCAAGGCCCAGTCCAACCTGGCCTTGATCACTGCCAGTGAAGCGGCATCTACAAACTCTGGGGAACCTGTGGTTTCTAGAACTGCAAAGCTGCTTTGTAGACAGTAGTTTGTTGTTCAGTATTTACATTCTGCTTCACTTCATTTTGAAAATTATTTTATGCTTTTCATTTTAGATGCATGATTGTCAATATAAAGAACACTGTTGACCTTGCTTAAATCGAGTTGCAAAGTTATTTGAGTCACAAATGTTTATTTGGATCCCTGAAATCTAAATGTTTTATGAAGCTTAATGCAGAATTAAAACCTTACCTGATAATTTCATTTGTATTAATACAAAATAGGCCTAAGTAAGTTCCTGCTTTTCAATTAATCTATTTAGCTGTAAAATCAATTAGTTTACACCGCCTGTTATGGACATAGTGTTCTGAAAAAGTTTATTTAAAACCTAACTACTCTGCAGTAAACTGAAGCATAACTTGATCTAAGATAAAAAATAAATGAAACAAAGCACCTGGTGTTTATTGTGGAATGCTGACATGTGATAGCCCTCTAGAAAGTTACCACACTGTTTTTTGTGAGCATGGGTTTTCTGATGTTTTGTTTTAAAACGTTCTGAGTGCTAATTCCTTGGACGTTGTGCACTGTAAATTAATTTTGAGCACATCTGATTTTTCATGGAACGCAATAGGAATTTCCTGTGGACTTTTCAGCTCAAGTTAGTTTTGAGGACATAAACTCTTCAACTCCTATACTGATATTCCCAGTGATTATAATGAGTTCTGCTTTGTCTGTTGGCACAGAACTTGTTCTTGCTTTTCCATACTTAGGTGGTTACAATTATTGTGTGAAGTAAAACTGAAGCTATTGCTGTATACTTGGCCATCAAAAAGCTTTCTCATATTTATGTTGTCTTGTCTTTTACAGATTTTTTTTTTTGTAGTAGTGGTATCATATCAGTTCATGAAGTGACATAATGTGACATATTTGCTCCCAGTATTGTCTTGTTGAGGTAATTTGGTAGCTCCACTACTGAGAACATTCATTTGGAAATGAAAACCCTCTTTCTATTCTGTTTAAGAAAGGTTTGTGTTTTTTAGAATTAAGAAGTAATAATACGAATTCCGATGTGACTTTCATAAAGACTGGAGAGGGGAGAGATAGAAGTTTGTAAATAATTTTGCTATCTCCAAATTTACTTCAGTGTCATAAGCTTGGTTTTAAAGCCCAACTGCAGGGGCTTTAGAAAGGCGATAGGGCATTATTTTAGAATTGATTATTTGATTTTCATCTTGTTCATCAATGGAAATTCCAGAGAAGTACTTCTTGTGAAAGGACACCATCATGGGAATGGCCTTTAACTTTTTGTTTCTTCTAATTTGAACTGTTCAGCTGTGTGGAGCTGTTCCAGAGAGAATTACGTTGTAGATATAAGCTGTTCATATTTCTTGTCTTGCTGCTCTGCTTTTTTTCCACAAATTCCTGTTGCAAGCTGCTTTTAACTAAAAATCTCTGCAACTTTTCTCCCAAGGTTTACTGGCATCCAAAGCTGTTGTTGCAGATGGTGCTGAAAAAAAGGAAGGCAACAAAGAAGCAGCTCCAGTCCTGGAGCAGGTATGAAATGGTAGAGTTTGATTCTTTTGCAAGGTTCCCACTGGAGTGTGCCATGGAGATGTAGTACCTACAACATTAAAATTTGCCCCTTCAGATATAACAGGGAACTGAAAATTGATCTTATGTTTACATTTCTGGCAGAGCTAGAAGTATGGAATTGTTTCTAAACAGTGTTGACTTGAATTTCAGTAATGAGCTTTTGTGTTAGAAAACTAACAGAAAACAAAGGAAAATGAAGTCTCCGTGCAACAAATGTGAGGAGACCAGTGTCCCAAGGTGTCCGGTTTTCTAGCTGGAATCATGGCCATGACTGGCTTAGGAAAAGGCCCTTACACAAATTTCATTTGTGTTTGAAACAGGGTTTTTGACATCACGTAGAACTTCTTTTAAAAGAAGTTTTTCTATTGTAATAATTTGGTGTTGTAGGCTTGTATGTGTTTTATGAACTGCTCGATGAGCCATACATTTTGCAAGGGTGTGTGTTTTAATAAATACAAAAAAGAAACTTTTAAATAATATTAAGGGTCTGATTTTTACACTTGCATATTTGCAGGGCCGGAAGGCTGCTGGTTTGTCTTTGGTTTGCTCCATTGTGTTCAGGCACTGCTTGGCTCCCGAGTTAGCATTATCCTGCATATTAAAAGGGCTGAATGCCTAAGCATGGTAAAGCAAGCTAAAGATGAACAGTAGTCTTGAATCAGGACATCTTCATTTTCCAATAATTTAAATCAGAGCCTTAATGTAGTTTTAATACAGCTTTTTTGTATTCGTTTTCATTCTTCTTTAACAGCAGCATTTGAGCAAAAAAAGCCTTGCTGCCAGCAATCCTTAAAACGCTTCTGTTCTTAAGCCCAGGCACACTCTGTGAACAGCCCCTGCCCCCAACTTGATTTGGTATTTTGGTTGTACTGGTTCCCGGCAGCGGCTAGAGGATTGCATTGCTGGGGTGGTTCCATTGACGCCGCCGGGGATGCGAGCTGTCAGTGGGAGGTGATTTTCTGTTCCTGGTGCTGTCACTGTAACGGCTGAGCCACCGCGCTGTCAATGCATTGGCCAGTACTTTGCAGAAAGGTTTACAATGTATTGACATGACATCCCATTTCTCAAATTTTTTGCATATTAAAGATGCTATGATTTTTCTTGCTACTGTGTGTGATATTTTCAATGTGCAAAAAACTGTGAAATGGCTTACAGCATGTTGTTTTGGGAAGAATCATTACAATGTAAATCTTGCCATGCAGAATCCCATTATGGTAAATGGGACTTTGTGGTTTACATAGACTGTGTATGCAACAGTATAAACTGCAGTGCATATTTACTAAAAACTTTTTGTTACTTCTTAGACTTAGTAACTCGGCTGTTTCTGTTTTATTGATGAGATAGAAAAAAAAAAAAAAGATGTCTCTGTCATTGTTTACATGCTAATGGTCTGAAAAACCTCATTTTTGGAAATGCCAGTTAAGCTCCTTTAAAGAGGCATCTAAAAACCCAAATTGTCCTATTCCTTCTCTTTTTAACTGAAACCAGAAACCTCGCAAATGATTAAATGATTAACTCCGGGGAGGAAAATGTTTGAGCTTAAAGCTTTTTTCACAAAGTTTCTGCCCAAATTCTAATTAAAATGGCCGAGTTATAAACCTCCTCAGAAGGTTCTCCAATAGCAAAGCTGACATTCCTTAGAGGTTTTGTCTGCTACTGCTATAAAATTGAATGGGTAAAATATCTTGTAGGTTTTTAAATAATGTAATGCAGAACATGGTAGAAGTGTTCAGGCCAGTAGCCGAAAACTGACTTTGTTGATGGAAGTTTATTTATATTTATATATTTTTAGTTTACAGTCGTCTTAAACCCAAATCCTCAGAGGATTAGTTGCAGATACAGTAGCTTATTTAACTGTATTAGGGTATGTCATGTTATATTTCCTTTTGACCGAGACCTGATTAGATGAATCAATTAATTATTAAGGTTTTTAATGTTAATTTGTCCTGTTATGAGGTTAAGCACCTTATCAAAATATTAATTTAATTTTTTTAATCTTGTTTAAATAACTTTGTAATTTGAAAGTAATGGATGCTGTAGTAATGTCTTTCACATCTGTGAAGATGAACAATAAAATTGTTTATTTACAAGTTACGACTCTAATTAATTTCTGGTAATACCTCTTATAACCAGCATAGGTATATTCTACAGTTCATGGAATATTTTATTTAAATGAATAAACTGCACTTAGTACATGTGTAATTGAATTATTCAAGGTAGAACTGATGTTTGCTGAATGGGATGTTTAGCACTGGATCTTTACATGATACTTGGAACAAGCCATTCATGTAGCATTCAGAGGTGCCCTTTGACAAACACAGAATGTGCACTTATGGGGTTTTTTTCCTGCCTTTTTTTTTTCCTTTTCTCCATTGGAACATGAAAAGTTCCAGTGGAAAATCATATTACAATTTATAACAAAATCCAATAATAACCTCAAATCATCAGAGATGTGATGGTTTTTCTTTGGATAAAGTGGTGCTTTACATTCTAGAAATATCTTTCTACTTTGCTAGTTATGGTTTTATTAGATGGTACTATGCTTTGATGTAACTGGGACAAGAAAGGGGACAGGCTTAAGAAATCATATTCAGATATTTCAGTTTGCTGTGATTGGGCAAATGGTAACACATGCACAGTTTATTCAGTAAAGTAGGAAGAACTTCCTTGCAGTTAAAAAATCTCAAATGCTAATGTCTGTCAATGCATGCTGATTGTCTAAAAATAATACTTCAGTATGTGTGTTAAGAAGGATGAAAATTGATGAAATTGGAAAGCTGCATTATACCTTATTTTTTCTTTTTTTAAAAATGTTTTAACTCTTTATCTGCTCATTTTTCCCCAACAGTTAGCAATCTATTTAACCCTGTGGTGCTAGAAGTTGAGATTTCTTCATGTGTTTGCACAAACATATAACGTGGTGAAATCCAGACTCCCAGCACTGAAAAGGGTTGTGTGAGAGTGTATACAGTATTTGGAAACCTTTTATTGTTTTCAGACATTCCTTAAAGGAGCATTATCAAGTTTTTCAGGTTATTTTCTAAGAGTGAAATTGATACTAAAGTTTTCCTGAGGAACTTTTCCCTGACCACAGGAAAAAAAAAAAATGATTGTGAAGGGAAAATCTTGGCAACCCTTTTTATAACTGCAGTCCTCTGAACAGGGATTACTTGCTCATAGCAGTGCAAAAGCCTGTCAGAGTTCAAGGAGTGTCCTTTCCAACTTCAGATATTCCATGATTTTGTGACTGTACACGAGTGTGTGTATTCTAGCTTGTAACAAGTGTTCTCCAAGTTATACTCTTAAGACAGACGGTTCTGATCTGTTGAGGATGAAAGAGACAAACAAAAAAGACCTGGTTAATTTTGAAATAGCAGTAGAGGAAAAATACTTTGTTTTCAGGCTTTTTGCAGGTATTTCAAATAGTAAGAAATGAGTGTTCTGAATACTGAAAATAATTGATAGTGCTCCTTTAAAAAAAGTTTGATGTGATGCATTTTAAGTAGTTTTCATTTGTACTGAAAATGTTGCTTTAAAATGTGTTTTGAATACTAAAGTTGCTTTTAAAAAGATCAAAATAGAATACAAGAACTACAGCGAAGAAACTGAAATAAAAGTATCAATTTTTTATTATTTATTCAGGAGATTTCACCTAAACCACAAAGTCAGAAAAAAAATGAAGCTGATATTAGCAGTTCTGCCAACATTCAGAAACCTGCACTGTTATCCTCAACTTTGTCTTCAGGAAAGGCTCGCAGCAAGAAATGCAAACAAGAATCTGGAGATTCTTCTGGCTGTATAAAGCCCCCTAAATCACCACTTTCCCCAGAATTAATACAAGTCGAGGATTTGACGCTGGTCTCTCAGCTTCCTTCTTCTGTGATAAATAAAACTAGTGAGCACAGACATTTTAAAAAAAATACTGGAATTACTTATATAAGAGATATACAAAAATTTTTCTTTTGGTTGTAAATGGCTATTGCTTTTAAAAATTAATCTGCTTTAAATAAAATGTCCAAGTGGGAGAATTAGGGGTAGCTCAGTATTTTAAAAGTCAAATAATTTAGTAAGGCTTATGAATTACTCTACCAGAAATAATACATTTAAATAGTAAGTTTCTATTTATAGAGTCGTGGCTTTTAATGGTTGGCTTTCCCTCCAGCTTAAATTAAATCTCCACTTTAGTATTAACAGTGATACAGGGAAAAAAAGATCAAACCTCTCTTCTGAAGGGGCCTGATTCATTAAAAAGAAAAGACGTACACCTTGGTTGTGGACCTTTCCTTCTCTGAGAAATTCCGCCTTCAGCAGGCCCATGTCCTGTCCCTGCTGGCCGGGGCATTCTCCACCTTAGGTGGTATTTCCTTCAAACATGGTGTGGAAGAGAAGAAGGGTTCAAGATCCGCGGTGGGGAAATATAAAAAAATTGGATTGATGTCTCAAAAAAATGCCATAGATGTTCAGATTCTTAACGTGTAACTGATTTGCAAAGTATCAAAGTAATGATTATCAGAAGAACAGGGAAGGGTTTATGCAGCATCCCTGAGCAGGCTATTTTTTGTGAATGTTCAATATTTCTGTAGGTTTGTTTTTTTTTTTAATATTACATGAGGCTTTTAGTGTTGCTTAGGGTCAGTTGCTTTGTTGCCTGAAGAACACTTAACAATCAGGCCAAGAGTTAAAATAAATGTGGGTTCCAGTAAATGAAAAGCTACATTTGTGTTTCACATTTAGAATAGTGATTGAGGATGGAAGACTAAAACTGCATCGTCTGTTCCCCTTAGCCTTGGTTTGATAGTTTCCCTTAGGAGATCAGTTTCTTTTTAAAGTTTTTTCACTGATCACCTTAAATGATTTGGAGATGGAGGGGTGCAAATTCAGCCATCTTTATGTATTCAGGACACATGGGTATAAATTGTGTTCTGTCCCAACAAGTAGTAGTGATCCCAATAGTAATGGTCTCATTGTAATATGCCTTCCCTCCCCACCCCTAAAATAATGGTAAGTAGCTTTCCTTGAGCATGCTTGTATTTTGGGTCAAGTTAGACGTCTCTGTAGCAATATTTTTTAAACTAGCTAATTTTAAAAAATGTTGCTTAATAGCTTAGGTTTTGTTAGTGCTGTCTTGTAATCTTTGGTTTCTGAATCTTCAGCACCTCAAATGGAAATTTAATTTTGCTGTGTCTTTATTTTTAAATCTGTCTTTGACTCTAAAAACTGCATAAGGAGACATATTACAGTCTAATAATGACTTAAATGTTTTTCTAAGGCAAAGCTTGTGAAACTGGGCAAAATTGGAGAGGTATTAGGGGAGTGTGGGTTTTCTGTTTTTAATGAATCAGGCCCATATTAACCTATATCAATCCTCCCCTCATTTTTGTTTTTAAAGTCTGAGATTTTTGAGCCTTCTTACTGTGGCATGCATTGACAGTGTGCATTTGAAATACAGTTGGAGAATTGATATCAGGTTAGCAGAAGATGGGAGATGGGATAGAAAATTAACCAGTGCTTTTGATTATTTTTTTTCCAAGTTGTATGTTACCACTGTCCGTGACTTTTTAGATCTTTAACTGTGATCATTTGTTCTGTTTACTGTTAAAATCTGGTGCCCCCTTCTAAGTAGCATACTCTCATGGGTTATATGGGGGGGTTGCTTATTGTAAGTGCACTGTTTGCTAAAACAGCAGCCTTTATCAGTGGGGAAGCAGATGCCCTAGTGTATAATAAGCTGAAAGCAGAATCGTATCTTGAGCATAACTTGTTTTTTGCTTCTGGTACTCACAGTTTTTAATTACTTTTACCAATTCCACTGTGATTACCAGATTTGCAAATGAGCTATTTAAAGCACTCCCCATCTTTAGATCTCAAATACTGCGGTAAGATTATGGTATATCTCTTTGCTTCATGAACATTGAAAGATCTCTTTTTAGGTCCATCTCAGCCAGTGAGTTCCCCTAGATCCTACAAACATAGCCAACGGAGAAGAAGATCACAGCGTTTAGCCACTTGCTCCTTGCCTGATGATTCTGTAGAAAAAGTTTCTTCTCCCTCTTCAGTTACTGATGGAAAAGTGTTCTCCATCAGTGGTCAAAACCAACAGTCATCAAAACTGGAGGGTAATGTATCTTAATCTAATAAAGAACTGACCAAGAGAAATTGAATCATAAAAATGAGACCTTTCATGGGATATTTTGACTTATTGTAGCTATAGCTTTATGCTCTTCCTATGCTATGTAACTCTGCAATCCAGACTGTTGTTTCTTGGACATATGTATCTTTTTTAACATTACATTTTTTCTTTTGTGTAGTACCTGATGTTACTCATATGTCACTTGAGAAGCGTGGACCGTGTCTCCCTCTTGATTTAAGCCGTAGCTCGGAGGTTTCAGCACCATTATCCACAGAATCCACTTTCCGTAATGAGTATCCCAGTAAAGACAAGGAAGATGTTCAGATGATTACATATCTTTCTTCCAAAGCAGTAACTGATGGAAGAATAGCTACGACAGCGTCAGGTAAAGAGATTCAGCATACAACCACTTAGGTTTATAGTTGTAGAGTAAAAACGTGTATGTATTCAATCACACAGAAAGAGGGGATACTATTTTTTTTCTTCTTCCTGCACACTCACAAACCTGCCACTCTTTCTGAGGTCCCTCCATCTGCATAGTCTGTCTTCCACTGGCTTTGAGCTGCATTAGCATTTTTTTCCTAATACACTTGAAGAAGGATCTGAGAACATGGAACGTAACAAGCAGTATTTCTTTCAAAAATATTCTATATTGAAACTTGTAAAAATCATTGTTGTTTACTAACATACTAATATATACTAAATCTAAATGTACTCACTGATCTTATGGCTTCAGCTTTAAAACTTGAGACAATCTGCATTCTTCTTACCTTTGGTTCTGTTTGCAGTGGAAATTTTGTCCTTTGCTTGCTACAGCTGTTACTTGACAATACTTCTGAAAAATCCTCTAAAACTTACATGGGCTTGGTTCACCGTCACAGAGTTAGCATAGAGCCCAACACTGGAGCTCTGTGCTGCCTCTCACTTTGTAATAGGTTGCTACTATTGGCTACTGTGGTTTGAGTCACTTGGATAGAGGCATGGAGATTTGGGGAAGGATTTACGTAGTTATTTGCAGACCCTAAAAGTGGCATGTTTTTATCCAGTATGTTAGGTGTCCATATAGCTTTTTTCATGAATAAGGCTTATATGTGGGTCAGTATCATACCATTTTTAACTGACTTCCAAGAAGGCATTCTCTCAAGCCTTTTTTGTTTTTTTTTTCTAGCTGCAGTGTTCAGTAGGTCAGTGAAGCATTTTGTTTAGTATGCACAGCCCCTTCTTGGATGTCTGCCCACACATACTCTCACCAACAGTGAAAGGCAATTGCTTCATCAAGTTGTAGCACAGCCATTTAACCTGATGTAGCAAAAGCTGGGTAGGATTCTTGGATCAATAATGTGTAGGTTAAAATAGATGACTGTAATTATCCTTTCTTGCTCAGAAAAAGAAATCTATTAATATCTTAAACTAATTTGTCAAAATAAGGGCTATGGGAATTTTTAATGAGCTGCCACTTAAAGCTTTAAAAATATACCTAATTTCTTGAGTGAAATCATATGACAGTCTTCATTTCACTTTGATACATGGCATAGAGGTAGAATCACAAATTCCTGGGAAAACTGCTTCTGTAAGAGTCCTTTTATCTCACATCTTCTGCCACTAAGAAAAGTGCTTTTGGGAGTTGTCTATTTGCCCACTCATTGAACAAGATCATAAAAGAAACCAACAGCTTCCAACGACCATCTGTTTCTTTTTTGTTAGACCTCATTTCAGTTACTGGGAATTTAACTTCTGTCTTTTCTGATGTATTTTCTGGGTCATTTAGTGTGTAGTTGGTAATGCTGGCGGGTATTTTTGTTGCCCACTCCTGCCATGGGACTGGTTTGGAGTCTGAGTGACCTGGTTCTAAACCCAGCGTCCACGAGTACCCTTGTGACAGTTTATTTGTTGAGTTTGGTCTTGGCCACAGCTGAGTCTAACTACAAGAATGTTTCACTTACAGCCACCTTTATGACTCAAAGATGCTTGAGGTGTCCACACACTTTGTGTCATGGGAAACCATTCCCTGTCAGAATTATCTGGTGTTACTGTGAGAAATAAATCCCAGAATGGGAAGATGGAAGCACTTGCAACCAATGCTGGAAGACACAGTTCATATCCTATTTAAAGCTTAATGGAGCTGTTCTGGAACTACATAATTTTAAGTTTTATATCCTCTCAAGGAGCTGATTTGCCAGCTACTTTTTTGTCTTCTGTGGTTTTGCCTTCTAGACAGACCTGTATTTTGTTCCTAATCTTCATGTGTTAGTTTTTTCCTCCATGCAATAGAACCATCTTGAGCTTTTATAGTGACGTTTTGTCCAAATGTTACGTGTTTTCAGAAGTATGCAGCCCAGAATCCATTTGAGCAGCATAAGCTTTGTGGGCTAAAAGGCTGATCTAAACAATTTGGTATCTTTAAGTCTGAGATATCATAGAAGGTTTTGGAGATAGTTGCCTCTGTCAGTAGTATCGCTGGGACTCCGTAACTGAAATTCCTTTGTCTTCTGGGTTCACCTCAGACTTTTAACTAACTCTGATGAAACTCGTTTGTCTCCTATCCTTCTCATATTCTTAGAAAAAAAATGTAGCTTTTAAGTTCAGATTTGAAACCTCTGGAGTTAATGTAAACAGCTGAATAGCTTTTATTGTGTTCTCTGCTTTAGAAGGCATCTTTTTACTTTCGAAACAGCACAGGTTCCCAAATCATGCTACTTAATCACATGTAATTATACCAAATTCTTTTATGCTTCAGCAGAATCAGTAGAATCCATACTGTTCATCACTACATTTCCTTTTCTGATGAACCTGTTTAAACAGTGGCAAGCTAATATATAAGGGAGAAGTGCCCAAAGCTTTCTTTTCTTATTTCTATCAGTGTTTGAAATTGAGAAGTTCCTTTGCATTATGCAGGAACATCTGCCCGCCCAAGTATAATTTCATATATTGCATTGTTTAGTGTTTGCACTGACTCTATAGATTGCAGTTTGAGAGCCCTGGTATAAAATCCAGACTATTCTGTAATTATCTGCTTTTTTAATCTGAAAGAACTATGTTAAATCTATGTCCTTTTATGATATTTCTGCTGTTTAGATTTTATTGGCTTACTCTGGGTAGATCTGGTGTTCCAAATTTTGAAAACATTCTGGTATTTGCTAAGTGTGCTTAAGTTGAACCTGCTGCCTTCATAATCATTGAAGTTGATAATTGTAGATAGTTTCAGGAATTATGGAGGGATTATTTAGAGTAAAACAGTCTAATAGGATTGCTAACCCTCTGTAAAAGAGCTGTACTGGTTTAGGCCCAGAGGTGCAATTTGTGGCTTTGGAAGTTTAGACTTCAGATGGGGGCTATCAGTTGTGTCAATTGAAAAAAATAATTTTATGTTGTTGAAAATGATGCATTTTAATGACTTCCTTATTAAAAAAAATACTAACTTGGTGTTTTTCAGAGGGGAGGGATGAGGTGTGCTGAAGTGCAGAAGCCTAAATGGTAACTCCTAGTATTAACACGTAGATTCCTCCTTAAATGGTAACTCATCGTATTAATGTGTAGATTTTCCTCAGAATCATTATTCAGAGTGAACAGCATGTAATACTTGGTAAAGGCAGCAGAAAAGCCTGTGATCAATTCCTTCAGCCCACAGGCTGCATGGAAGCACTCTGCACTTTGGTAGACACTGGTACAGTGCTAGTTAATTGTTGAACTCAGAGAGGTACTGCTTTGCCTAAACGGGTGCGTGGACATACTTGTGATCATCTGATCCTGCACACGTAGCCAAGAATCCTTGCTTTTATTTGACAAACTGCTTAAAATGGAGATAACTGTCCTTTTTGTCGTGTAGCCTTTCGTTGACTCCAAATTCACAGTCTGAATGCATGCAAAATGCTGTAGGTTTCCAGTTCTGACTACATGAAGTTCAGATCTTTCTGTAGTTATAAGTTTCTTTAAATTTGTGATGATTTTTATTGGGTTTTAAGTACACAATTTGTATCAAACTTATGTATTGAGTGAACATAACTTCACCAAGCAATTTGGGTTTTAAAATTTAGGTAAAAGGAAAATATTACATTTACTAATAAAACAGAATTACTAGTAACACAACAGTATAACAGTAGTACTGGTAACACAATATAATCTCTAGCTCTTATACCTTAGTCTGGATGATTTTACCAGTAGGGTGAGATTAGGTCAACTATATGGGAGAAATATGCACTTATGCTAAAAGAAAAAACATTATGCACTTTTACATAATTTTATTGTTAAGCTTACTGCAGCAGAAAGAAGTGGCTCATAGAAAACTTTCAGAAAATCAGTCACTTTTTAATAAACTCTTGCCAGTGTTATTGTTTCCCCTGCTTTTAAGAGGTATCTAGACTCTAGTGAACTAATGCTCTTGTTATGTTGGAGCTGTTTTACTCTGGACATCTGCTGACAGCCAGGTTTACTCCCTGATTTGAGTGTTTGCTGTTCTGATCTCTGCCCTGAAGTTCCCAGCTGATTATTCCTGTGGTTAGCTAAAGGCAAGCAAGAACCTTTCATGTCTTCATCCTTCCTGAAGAGATCATTTGTGGAGGATGTGGTATTAATCTGTAATATGTATTTAAAGTGCATTTAAGGTGTAAAATTCATCCTATGCTCTGGAAATTCAAAACACAAAATTAGTTATTGATAGAACCAAGAGTTATGCTGGTCATGTTATGATGTAAGTTGTATAGTAATGCAGATGATGATATTTCTGGTATTAGGAAAGTTGAAACATCAAAAATGGAGTATCATTCAGAAAACCAAATTGCTTCATAGTTTGTTTTAATTTGCTGAACTGAAATGAGCAGTACCACTAACAGCCTGCGCTGCTGTCAACTCACTGTGCCAGACCAGGAGAGATAGTGCTGGAAATGGCTCATAAACTGGACTCAAAAGTGCTGTGGTTTGCATCTGATTTTAAACTGAAATCATCAGTCTTCTGGTGATGAAACTGATCTTAAAACAATGACATGATCAGTGGTTTATCCAGCCTAAGCTCTAAGCATCTTTCTCACTGCTGAGTGTGAATTGCAGACCTCCCACGCTTTGCTGTGTAGGAGGTGGCTGACTAGACTTCTCAACTGGAATAAAATTGCAATGAAAAGTAGCAGTTAAAAAAAGCTAATACATCCATTAAGGAAATTTTTTATTAACTAATGTGTTTCTTGCTGTATTTGTTACTTGCCCTTCAGACTCTGATTGTCTACTTCATCTAATTTTGTGGTTACTTGTAAGGCATAGCAATTGCACAGCTGAAAATCAGACTTTGCAAGCTTTAACACTTTAGGATTTGAAAATTGAGGATTCTTACTCTAGAATGATTTCTGATTAATAGAAGCAAAAGCCAAGAATAACATTGCAGTGTATGCAGGCGTAATAGTAATTTCGCTTTTCAAGTTACTGTGGAAAGGCAGCCTGCAGGGCTCTGTCATTGAGGTGGCTATTTGCATGACTGTAGCAGGTTTCTGGCTATCATAAATGTCCCCTCAAATAATTGTTTAGTTACCAGCTGAGTACTTTGTCAGATGTGCATGTGTTGAAAATTACTGAGATTCAACATCTCAGTTTGTGTTGTGGCTATCGATATCGGAGCATGTTTGAATGTCTGAGCTTGGAATTCCTTCTGAATAATGAAGTCTAAATACTAATTCATCTAGTAGAGACTTAGATTTCTCCACCCAATCTCAAGAGAAATTAACAACCCTTCAGCAAAATGGCAGGGACCTAACAAATTATGTGCGTTTGGGTGACCCTTTTGTGCTCTTTTTAGAAAGGAGACAAGACGTTGATAGCGTGGTGATGTGGAGAAGTGTCACTTTTCTCTCTTACTGAGGTGCTAAAACACACTCATTGCTCCACAGATGGCAAAGCAGTTCAGTCCTCTAACAGAGACAAATGTTAATTAGTAAAGCCAAGAAAGGAATACTCTGAACAGCGTTTTGTGTTGATGATAAGTATCCCAGCAAGCTAAACATGCTTGAACTACAAAGGCAAGAGCTGAAGTACCAGACCAACTTGAGTAGGAGACCAGTCTTGAAGGGATTATGGTCTTAGATGAGGTGGTTGATTTGGGGCAGTGGAAAGTCTTGGGCAGCCTCAGCCATGGTCATGCAGCTTGTCTTGTGTTAGATGGCTAAACTGCATGGTGTGGTGAGGTCTTGCATCCTGCAGCTGGGAACATCTGCATGCCAAAGTGCAGTGTGGCCTGTTAGGTGAGGTCCCACTTCCTGCTGCTCTTGATGCCCCCGCGATTTTCTCGCTCTGTGACCTTTTGGTTGCAGTAGACTTGGGTTGGTCTGTCCAGGACTGGAAGTACACGTCATGGAGTCAACCCTGAGACAGTGTTGCCTTTTCCCTTGAATTCTTTCAGTATTGATGAACTTACTAAATTATCTTAACACTGCTTATTTAAGTGTTTTGTGTTGTTCTACTACTGAATATTAAAAAAAAAAAAAAGGCAGGGGAGGGAGGAAGCTCAAAGAACCCATTCCAGATCAGCTTCATATGTTGTTTTGCCTAATATCTTGACCACTAGCAGGTATTTCTCTGGACTTTTTTCTTTTTGTTCAGCACTTGTGGGTTAAAGTGTTTTTTACGTGCTGATACTTTAATTTGGCTCATGTTGAAAGACAGCAAAGGTGACTGATGCCTCCACGTGTTTAAAGCTGGCACTGAAAAACCTGAAACCCTCACGATTTTGCAGAGCTGCTTTTTTGTACAGTGTGTCCTCAGCATGATCCTGAGGTGTCCTCCATGGTCTCATGAAGATTAGGCTTCCCTAATTAAACTTAAATCATACGTAAAGTGCTCAGAATACTGATGAATACAGTATAGAGAGAGTTTTCAATTACTTCAATTTTCTTTATAAATAACTTTTATTCTAGTTTATTTGAAAATTCCATTGTCCTGTTTGATTTTTTTTATCAATATTAGCAATGAAAATTGAGTTTTGCTTTACCATGTTATTTCCTATTTTGGTTCAGATACAGATTAAAAACTTAAATATTTCAGTGAATAAGTTTTTGTGAATAGTGCAAGATAAAAATTGTCAGTGTATGATGCTGAATTCTAACAGATTATCACAGTATTTTGCATGTAGTTCAAATGTGAATTAAATACGTACATGAAAGACAGTAAATAACTGAAATAGTATTAAAATCAATGAAATGTGCAATAACCAGAAGTGTGAATTTTATATATAGCACTAAAAATGTTGTATCAGCTTACTTTCTCTGTTCACATAATGGAACGTTAACTGAAAGATACTGACAATGTCAGCACCTTTAACCCTTACTGTTGATGGGGGTTTCTGTTACAGTCAAATAAAAAGGAAACAAAAAGGCTTAAAAGTAGCAGCAAAAATGCACTTCAAACAGTAACAAGTAGTGTAAAAGCAAGTGCAAATTCCAAACCAGACCAAGAAACCTTCTGTGGCATGTATTGTATGTGAGACTAAGATCTGGGCATTCATCTGGAGTAATGAGATGTTAAGTGTGATGACATTATTGCCAGTAGTTGACATTTCAGTGATCTGACCCAGCCAGCGATCAGGCTGCAAGCCTTGCAGAATGCCTAGTAAATCTGTCTTCTTGTTTTCAGCACCCTCGTCCCATGTACATGCCTTGCATCTGGAAATGCCTTTAACCGATAGTCTAAAGTTGCCCAAAGGGAATAGTAAAAAAAAGAGGTCTTCCACATCAGTGAGCTCTGAAGGGACAGAGCTACAGTGCTCTGTGCCCATAAAGGAGAAATGTGTTGAGAGTCTGAAGGAGAAAATATTAAAGAACGTGATTGAGAAGGACAAGCATTCAGAAATTGGTAAACTACAATACTTTTTGTTTCCAGTGCTTTAGACAATAAAAATAATCATAAAGTGACAGTAAAAATAATGTTCTTGTTTGTGTGTTTCTTCTTATGTACCATTAGGACTTTTTTTGTGGTCTAATGACTTGTACAAGAAAGTGGGTCATCAGCCAGATATTGCACTTATGTCATATATTCTTCTTGAATTTGCAGGTGCAATGAGGATGGAAAGAAAAGGAAAACTGGAAGAGAAAAGTTCTTCTACATATGGTATGTGCTGAGCAACAATTTTTTAGGAAAAATGAAAAAATTCTCTAATTCATGATGTCTCTGAAGAGCAAATGTAAAAGCATAAAATATTTCCTGGACCTAGCTGTACTTTTGTTTGTTTAGGTCTTAAAATCAGGTTTTATATATGTGACAAGTTTATAGTAGAGGAATGCTTTTATAAGAGAAAAGGGAAGTGCCCATAGCAAGGATTTGGAAGGATCCAAATGTGCCTGTGAGATATGTGAGAAAAAAAAAAAACCAACTTGTTTTGGTGGAATTGGTGCTACTGTCTTTATTTCTTTGTATGGACTGATTTGAAGGGAGTAGGAGAAAACTGTTAACTGTTACTAGCAAAACATTTGGAAATTGTTGAAAGAAAGTATAAATGAAGAAGGCTTTGGTTTTAGCCCTTATTTAAAAACAAAAAAAATCCAGTAGAGGTAGACAAGAATTCATAAGTGATTCTGCCTTGTTTTTCCAGGAGGTAAAATTCTGTTTCTGTGTTCCCCAGGAAGGTGATAAAACTCCATTTTGTGTGCAGGAAACAATCCTTAAATACTGACTTAAAAGGATTTATTTTCTGTAACAAGTCAATTTCCTCCTTATTTACCTCACTGCTCATTACTTAGAAAATTATTACGGAGTGAAAATGTTGTGGGATGTATTTTGTCTGGGGAGAATTAATAAGATAAATAGAATTATTCTGAGACAAAGTACTTGTCCTCATGCATGTACCGACAGTGATCAGAAGTGAACTACGGTGTAAAAAATGTCATAAATTTTAGTCAGAATCAGTTTTCTACGAGAATGTTGCTGTGTAGTAGAAAGTGCTGACAGCATCAGCAGTTTTGTGATACTGAAATTTCCTTCCGATGACTTTCTGTAGGGCTAATACACATTTTTAAGATGGTGTTATCTTTTTTTGAATTTTTCACTTTTGAAAGCTTCTTCTTTTGCCTAAACCTTTTTGTTACAAACTGCAAGTAAAATAGATGCTGTAAGATCCTTAAATGTCAATTATTTGGTGTGCTTTGCTGTATCTTCTGCTGTGATATCTAATTTGGAAATACTTAAAATGGTAAAATGTCGTATGTTGAGAGATTCCTTTGAACCAGAAATTAATATGACATGCCCAAGATGTCAAGTAAATGAACTGAACCATTTTGATCTGACTAGGCAACTGGAATACATGATTTTTGGATGTCATGTTAAGGTTAGGCCAAATGAAGGAAGTAATTTGGAATGTTAATGCTATTTCAAAATATTTAAATTTTATTTCAGGTAAAAAGAAAGAAAAGGAAAAGGAAAAAAAAGAGAAGAAGGAGAAGGATCATAAATCAAAACAGAAAAAGAAGAAGAAAAAAAAGAAGAAATCCAAACAGCATGGTAAATTAATTTATTTTTTTTAATAAGCAAAACCAATCAGTGTATTTCTGGCATTAGATACTAAAAGTTGTTGCTAAACAATAGGAATGCCAAATTTTAGAAATTTTGAACAATACATTTTGGCCTTAAATGTTGAAAGGAGACTTTGGTATATTGAAAGAACACTTAGGTCTATGACCTAATTTTTGTGCTTATAGCCTATTTCTATATGATAGTCATAGACATTTCATAGATGATTTTTTGTCCTTCAAAAGTTATGCCACTCTTCTCATCTCTTCAAATTCTTCATCTGAAGCTGTGTATACACGTCTTACCTGTTTTACTTTCACATTAAAAATTATCCTAGTATCTATTCTTCTGCTAAATTTCAGTGGTTTACTGTAAAAAATGCAGCCCCTCCTTAACAGTTAATCCTTAACACCTGAGGCTGCTGCCTCTGTTGCAACAGCCTTGTCTGTTGTCTTCACAAGTGGTGATTCCATTTGTCTACATCTCAATTCCCTATTCTTATTCTTTGATCATAACGCTTATATTTTTTTTCCCCTGTTATTTCTGCTCCCTAGAGGGACAAAATTAATTTAGTCTTTAGATATGAGGCTGTAGATACCTTGTGCTTTTATTTATACAAAACAAACAAAAAAAACCCCTTTCAAATCACTGTGTTTTTATTTTCTCGTTGTTTGATAAGTACTTCTGTAAGAGTGTGGTTTAAAGTTTTAGCACCATATGTTCTGTGACTCCCCTTGGTGTGATTTCTGTGGAAAAACTGGACAATGTTTTGTTGTTGTTTTGTTTTTTTGGTGGTTTTTTTTTTTAATAGAAAGATAAGTATCCTGCTGACTGGTACAGTTTTACTGTTTCTTCCTCTTTTCAACACCCTTTTGTTCTTTTAATCTCCCACAAAATGACATTACAAGTTCCTTGATTTGCCTTTTTTTGGCATCCAGTGCAGTCTTAGTTGCAGCATTATGGCAAAAAAAAAAAAAAAAACAAACAGAATGGGCAAATTTAGACTCGTTCTGTCTCCTCTTCTTTCCAAAGACTGGTTGCCCAGAGGAGCTGTGGGTGCCCCCTCTCTGGAAGTGTTCAAGGCCAGGTTGGATGCAGCTTCAAGCAACCTGGTCTAGTGGAAGATTTCCCTGTCCACGGCAGGGAGGTTGGAACTAGATGATCATTAAGGTCCCTTCCAACCCAAACCATCCTGTGATTTGTGATTTTATGGCTTACCTGTGACACTCTACCCCAGTCACTGTGATTAAGGACAGGCTTGCAGATGTTTTCCTTCAGACTGTTGCAAATAGTGTGTGTTGAAGGAAAATACCTGCCACTGGTATCAACATAAACATCAGTACAGCTGTACTGGCAGTAGGCACCAGCACCCTGTGCTGCCTGTGCTTGTGTGTGCTCTGACAGCCTCACCCTGCTCCCCAGCCTGGCTGAGCAGGGTGGGGGGTGCACAAGGGGACTATACACATGCATATATGCACAGCATGGATCTCTCCAGACACTGCCACTGCCTGCCCAGTAGCTGCCTCTGGATCCCAGTCTTTCCAGCTGGTGGGAACTAGAGATCTGACCCCGGGGGCCGCAGCCCCACTGAAGCACAGACCATCGCCCTCACATGTGTGCTGTCACACACTCTTGGACTTGGCCAGGTCTCTGCAAACTCCTGTAGTGCCTGTGGCTCTCACCCAGAGCTGGTCCTGGCAGAGTACTCACCCCCTGCTCCCAGGCCACTTCACCTGCTCACCAGCTGGTCCAGCTTGGTCTCTGCTAACAGACACTAGCACTATCTCCAGCTGCTGCAGCACAAACTTACGGGCTTCTGAGACCAGAGATCTCTCAAAAGTGGCTGACACTTCAGTCACTCCAGTCTCTTCAGGTGCTGGCCCACCACATGGAACCTTTGCCAATGATCTGATTCCATTTGCTCACCCTCAGACCCCTGTATACACACCTGTGTTCTGAACAGAGAGCCTCTCACCTGGGTTGGAGTTAGAAATGGTGTTTAACAATAGTCACAGAATAGCTGAGGCTGGAAGGGACCTCTGGAGGTCCTCCAGTCCAACCCCCCTGCCCAAGCAGGGCCACCTAGAGCCAGTTCTAGACTATGTCCGGACGGCTTTTCAGTATCTCCAAGGAGAGAGACTCCACCACCTCTTGGCTCCCTCCCTAAACATTCCACAGTAAGTTTTGTGCAATCCCAGAATGATCTTCCCTTACATCCTGTAGTGTGTCCCTCCCCTGAGCTGCAGCCTCCCCTTAGTTCACAAGGTGATCCAAAGAGCTGCTCTGGGTAACGCATCATGATGGGTTTCATGGCTGGACAGTGGGGGTGATGGTGCTGCTGGGACAGCCCTGGGAGCTGCCTGGACAAAGTGTGTGTGTTGTTTGCATGTTTATCGTGCTTCTCTGGGCTTGTGCACATCCTACTGGGGTGCTCCCAAGCCCATTCCAGGAGCTATTGGCCTATCGATGGCTGATGGCTCCTGGGATGGGCCCGGGAGCATCCCAGGAGGGTTTTCTTTGGGCTCCCTGTGCTCCTGTGCAGACAAGCTTGTATCACTTCACTGGAGAGGACCATCTGCAGTTATTTCTAGGTAGCAATGCTGGGGGTGCTACAAACAGGCCTAAGGCAAAAAGAGAGAGCGACCAGCAGCATCTGTAAGGCTAGCAGATGGTACAGGACGAATTGTGGGAGGACTGTCTAATGCTCTAGGAAAAATTGCTCTGTACATTCAGAGATGGGGGAAGGAGGAATTAAATGGGTAATGCTCCTCTTGGTTATTAACTTCATTATGTTTCTTAATGGAATCTTTTTTTCCTGAAATGTTTTGAAGAGCTTTTACCATTTCATATCTATAGCTTCATCATCCTAATACCTCAGAGTTGATACTCTTTACTTCTGAGCAGGATGTTGAAGTACACTTAAATGTTTGGGGTTTTTTATTTGTCATGAACTTTTCATTATTTCTGTAACAGGGACTTATTTTCTTTTAACTTTTCAGATTATTCAGATTATGAAGATAGTTCTGTTGAATTCCTGGACAGATGCTCCTCTCCACTCACCCGCTCCTCGGGGAGCTCTCTGACTTTGCGCAGCATGTTCTCAGAGAAGAACACATCATACCAGTATCCAAGAGCTATCTTGTCTGTTGACCTTAGTGGAGAAAGTAGGTTGGCTAAACAGCAGCTTTCAGTTTATAGGCTTAATTCTTTAAGAAAGATAATTTTAAAGGAAATAATTTGGATTGTGTATGGGCCTGTAGCTGTAAATATGGTGACTAATTTATACTTCATCTATTTGAATCAAAATGCTTGCACTCCTCAAGCTGTTCTGCTTTGTACTGGCTTTGGTTAAGTGTCACTATTCTGCTTCTCAGGAGATCGTTTAAAGGCATTTTGCAGAATTCATCAAGAAATTTAATATGCCAGCAGTATGCTTGAGAGCAATTTTTTTCCTCTATGCAGGTCAAGATTTTGAAGTGCCCAGACCCTCTAGATTTCTGTGAACTGTTGTCTCTGCACACAATTTCACATGTATTTATTTTTACTAGACCTTTCAGATATGGAGTTCTTGGATGATTCTTCTACAGAGAGTTTGTTACTTAGTGGTGACGAATACAATCAGGATTTTGATTCAACTAACTTTGAAGAGTCTCAAGATGAAGATGATGCTCTCAATGAAATTGTTAGATGCATTTGTGAACTGGATGAAGAAAATGGCTTTATGATTCAGGTAAAGAAATCTGGGAGAAGGAATAAATTTTCCATGTGAATGTCTTACTTGTCAAGGTGCCCTTTGAATGTGTTGGATACCAAAGTTCTGTAGAGAGCTGTAACAGAAGTGAGCAATAACAAAATAGTTCTACGTTCTGCACTTGCTGTGACTATTTGGCATATGCAGAACTATTACTCTGGGATGGGGTTTCTCTAACAGCTTGATATGTAGAACAGGTTTGTAAGGAAAGATAAACTTTTTCTTTATAGCCAGTTGGTAAATTTGAAATGAAGTATCCTTTCCCACACAGAAATCATCTCTTCTGTCCCCAGACCATCCCAGTTACACCAGCCCTTCTGGCCTGGCCCTTGTGCTTTGCAATACCAATTGTAGGAACCACTCTGCTCATTGTAGATGTACCTCAGCTGTATGCCAAGTCTCTGCCATACAGATGTTAATATTGTGCATGCTTCAGCTTTAGAACAGCACTTCTCAAATTAGGTATCACTAGCTGGGTTTAGAAACTGCTAAAAATTTAAATCTTACTTGGTGTAGAAAAAAAGTAGAGTATAGAGTGTCTGCACAGCATTCAGGTGCTGATGGATTGCAACAGGTCCTTATTTATTTGTACTCCAATGAGGGGAACATTTTCCATCTGCTAATAAAATTTAAAGTCTTTGTCTCAAGGAATTCATAATACAGAATGATTAGATCAGATGCATGCAACAGTAAAGAACTGACTTGTCAATAACTTTAAAAAAAGCCATGAGCTTCTTGTGTGCCCCCCCTCCCACCCTCAAAAACCAGGTTTGTATTCAGCTATTCATGAGGTACAGTTTTTGTTGGAAAGAAGGAGCATTTTCCCTTGAGATGTGAAGGAGGCTAGAATGGCTGTCCTGTGTTAAATGGACTTAAAAGTCTTTTGGAGATGACAGAGCTGAAAATGAAGGATACAAAGACTGTCCCTGGGAACACACTGAAATGCAGTGCTGTGTTGGAGGAATGAAGCAGGAGTTCAGCTTCTGTAATCATTTGGAAATTGGGCTGGTGTAGAAATCTTGGAGATAGAAGAGGAAATTGAAGCCATAGAAGTATGACAGGAGGAAAGGTGACTTCAGTATTTTGAACAAAGTGATGCTCAAAAACATGTCAAAGCAAAGAGGAGAGACTTTCAGTAATAAACCAGCAGATATTTGGAACATCAGCAAACACTGAGCTGAGAAAGGCAAATTTATTTTTCAGTGGTGATTTCCTGGCCGTTTCTGAAGTCCACTGACTGTCTGATTTTTCCTCTTCATGCCTTGTCTCACTGAGAGCAACCAGTTTGCTGTTTCTAGGCCCTCATGTCTTACCACTTCTATTTTGCTCTCCTGTTCTCGTGTTTCTCCTCTTTCATTTTCTCTTCATTTTCTTTTTCTTTTAGATTTTCCATTGGTGCGATATTAAAAACATCTTTCTAGCCCACTGGAGAGATGCTTTGTAAATATAAATAATTAAACTGAAGAGTTTTCTACTTTTCACTGTTATGCTGTAATGTATTACATTATCTTTCTACTTTACTGTAATATTATACTCCTGTCTTGTTTCACTACTAAATATTTAGGTGCTAAAATACTGAATGTTGTAATAAAATATGATTAAATATTACATCTTAAATTTATTTTTTTTCCCAGTCTGGAATTTGTGGTTGAGGTAACTTTCAGATCTGGAGCTTTTTTTTTAGATTGACGTCTTTGCCTACCCGAACACAAATTGCCCCACTAAAATAATCCTACTCAAACCAGCTCTTTTAGTTAAACTGCTGTTCTCTGCATTTTGACCATGCGAGAAATAGCTTCTGATTTTTGAGTCTACTTCTCTCAGTTTTAGTGTTTGCTTTTGCTTTTTTCCGGTGTCAGTGTGAAGAGTGCTTGTGTTGGCAGCACAGTGTGTGCATGGGACTGTTAGAGGACAGCATTCCAGACCAGTACATATGTTACATCTGCAGAGATCCACCAGGTATGGGTAAACCACCTTCATCTACAACCTCCTGCTTAGGGTTTTTAAGCACAAATACTATGCATTGCTTCAACTGCTAAAGTTTTGTCTGCTTTGTGTTATCTCTTATCTCTTCGGGGCAAATGATTCTCACCTTGGCTCTGAGCAGAAACTTACTTTCCTGTTAGTAACATCTTGTTCATGTTCTTAATTACCATTGCTTTATTTGTTGAAACTTAATTCCCCCAAAACCTTAATGCTTTTTCATGTCATTGTAGTCTGAAAAGTCTTTCTAAACAAATCATTCTTCAGCAGTCTGTTTTGCCTACACTTGGTATCACATCTGTTCATTTAAATATTTTCTTAGAGAAACAGAATTAATTACCACAGTACACTCAAACATGCTGTGGATGTCATTTCATATTAATTGCAATTTTATAATGTTTTCATTTGTCCAGAATTCTGTAAAGGTGTGGAACTGAATATGTAAAATAAAAAAAAAAATCTGGCACTTTTTATGGTAAATGATAGTGCACAAACAGCACTTGAACTCTTGACCTTAAGATTGTTAGAATGGTTTTGAAATGGTACAAGTTAGGAAGAGTCTATAAACTTTTAAACTAAATAGATTTGATTAAGAAGGTGCTGATTTAAAAATTATTCCATCCATAAACCTGTTTTTCTTAGCAGTTATTTGAAGCAGAACTGTATAGTTTGGAAGGAAGGTTCTGGTGTTGTTCCTTACAGTTGATACAGATGCACATACATGTCTTCTGGTGAAATATCCAACAGTCCAACTGTTTCAAAGGGGCAATAAGACTACACCCCCAAATTTACTTCCATTCTGAATTTAAGAAGTGAAATCTGAAAACTGTTTGCAGAGGTATAAAATAACACCATTTATATTAGGTATTTTTGAGAAGTAAATTTGGGAAAACAGAGCTGGAAAGATGTGACTTCTTCTGTTTGCCTCGGTTTGAATCTAAGCTGTTGTCCTAGTCTTGCTTGGTGGTTCTGTGTGGTGTACTCTGAGCAGTCAAGCTTTTTCTTACTAAAACCAACTAATTTGTCTTGTGTTCTTTCCCTGCACTATACCAGGTACCTCGTTATCCCCTGCTGTGTAGAGACTGTGTCCCTAACTTATCTTCTCTCCCTTCCTAACCATTACTTCTTTTCTTTCTGTGTCAGGAGAAACAGGTCATTCACAATGTCAGTATTTTAAAGTGTATTGGGATAATGGGCAGAAAGGAGATAGACAGGGTATTCTCCTGAAAGGTACGAAGGGCTTCCATCAGCCCGTTCTTTGTGCTGTATATGATGATAGTCTGATTCAAAACTCAGTGTAAGACCTGGCAGTCCTAGTCAGTCTGTTTGTCTAGGTCCCTCGTTGTGGACCATAGTATTGGAATGATTAGTGTTATACATTTCTGGCTTTGTTTTTTGTTTTGGTTTCTTTGGGGTGGTTTGGTTTTTTTGTTTTGTTTTGTTTTTCCAAATAGTTACTAAGTTACTATAGAAGCCTTAGCTAAATACTCATTCATGCCTGTTGGGCCAAGACTGTAGATGTTGCCATACTGTGGGAGTCCTAAGGCCCACTACCATCACTATCCTGTCTGGTAGTGTCTGGTAAAAGGCATCTCAAAGGAGAGCATGAGAACTCTGCTGTCAGATAACTTTGAAAAATTTGCTTTTCCTGAAGCCTTCTCCTGGCTTCTCATAAACAGATGTTGACTTCAGTATTGAAGAAAATTATTTGTCTTTAGGAAAGCTAGGTATTTTGGATATGGCCATATAAATCCACTCTCTAACATTTCCTTTGGTAACAAAGGTTTTGGTTTTTTAATCATAAGCTGCAGTATTTAGATACATAAAATGCCAATTGAAACTTTTTTTTCAGTTACATTGATAATAGCAATGTTCTTAATATACTGAACTCTGATTGCAAAGGTGATTAGAATTTAATTTCAAATGCCATTTAGAGAGGTCTTGAGATTTTAGTTGTTTTTTTTTTTGTTTTCATAAGTGAGAGTTTCTTCTTAAGCCAAGAAAACAAAATTTTAATATATTCATAGCAAGATCTTGAATCATCCTTCCATGGATGGTAGGAAACATTTAGGAGAGTACAGCATATAATTATAGCACTCTAGTTTTAAATACAATTCTCCTGTGGCTTTAGATGGCCCTCAATTTGTTTCTTGCTTACCCCAGGTCAGAGGTGGAGTGCCAAATATCTTTATGATAAAGACTGGCTAAACAACGGACACATGTGTGGATTATCATTTTTGAAAGAAAACTACTCTCATCTTAATGCCAAAAAGATTGTGTCAACACATCACCTACTGGCAGATGTATATGGTGTAACTGAAGTGTTGCATGGCCTGCAGCTGAAGATTGGGATATTAAAGTAAGTATCAGTCCAAGCTGTATTCTCCATTTTGATACATGTAGGTAGCACAGACCACCCATATTTCATGTGCATCATTCTCTCACATTAATTCTTTCTTGTGTCAGAGTTTAAGTAATTCAAGTACAAGGTGTGGAGTACCCTCAGCTTCAGGGGGAGATGTGTGTTCATCACCTGAGGGGATCCAGTATATTTGGATTATTGGTGATTTTGATTTTTTTTCTAGTCAGTTTGTGTTAAAGGGATGTTCTGGATTTGTCCTGAATTGAAAAGTGACTGAGGAATACTTAAATGTTAAATAGTGGCTTATCAATTCCTGTGATCTAGCAGGAACAGATGCTTAATAGTTCAGTGCTGTAAATGGTGCTCTATAATTTGCTTTTTTCCTTCCCTTTATTGCAGAAATAAGCATCACCCAGACCTTCGTCTCTGGGCTTATTCAGGGATGCAAAAAGAACAAAAAACTGTTGGGGTAGAGAAAAAATCAGTGACTTTGCCAGATGCTGTTAATCCAACCGAAAGGACGTGTCACAGTCACAATCATAAAGAGCCCCCCAGTATACCCCAGAAGATGGAAGAGACATACATCACAAGTGAGCACAGTTACCAAAAACCACAGAGTTTTGGTCAAGACTGCAAAGCAGTCACTGATCCTATGAGCTCAGATGATGAAGATACAAGTAGTTTTGAGGAAGATCAGGATTTTCACACAGATAATAGAAACTGTTTACAATATTCTTTTAAAGATGGTGGCGTGAATGAGCAGGTAAGTATCATTCATCTGGGAAGTTTCTTAGCTGGAAAAATATTTTGTCTGATAAAACTGAAGCACATACAACAATGAAAATTTCTAAATATTTTTAAGTTAACATTCTGTCAAGTCAGCAGAAATCATTGGAAGCGAAGCTGGATCACAGAAATAGCTTCAGGTGAAGTAGACCCATTTCAGCTGGTGGATGTAATGCAAAGTACACTTGAAGTGTTGTTGAAGTGAAGTTTTATGCTCAAACCAATGTTTTGGAGGGAAAAGATTTCCTGTGCTTCAAATGCAGGCTCTTGATAAAAAAAATGACATGTTTTGTTGCAAGGAGAAAAAAAAATAGGGCAAGTTTCCTTTTCTCAGTTCTGTTTTCGACACTTGTTTTTTTATTTTTTTGCTAAACTGAGATTTTTTAAAAGTGTTTATTGTTGTACTGCATTCTTTTAATAGCTACACTGTAATAGAATTCTGTCTACAAGTAATCATCTACTGACCAACTAATTTCCTCTAATGTGCAAGTTCTTTTGAGTCTTTTATGTTGCAGATGTCTTCTAATTAAATGTTTTCTGAGCTTTATAGTCAGGATTGTATTTGGCTATTTTAACATCTTTCTCATTTTTGTGTTAATAGCTTGAATCCATTACTTTGTAGAAAAGGTCTGAAACTTTTTAGTGTAGTTTCACTGAAGAGTTCTCTTTGAGCAAAAAAACAATGTGAAACAAACCTTTGTTTTCTACAAAACTATGTGAGAATAAGTTGCCCAACTAATCCCCCTCTTGATGTGTAGTTTCTGAAGTGGAAGAAATGAGTAAGATGTATTTTAATTTTAGTTTTGTGGCATGTGAGCCATATAGTCTGAATGGGAAATTTGGGCTCATTCTAATTAGAAATAAATATCTGTATGCTAAGCCACCTTGTATTCAGTTTGTATAGTGAGGAGACATGCAGTGGTGCCAAATACACTTTTCTTCCAAGAGAAGCATAAATCATCATTGTAAATAGTTTAAATACATCTAGAATTAAAGTAAAATGTGACTAGATAAACAGAACTAATCATAGAATCCTTTCAGTTAGAAAAGACCTTTAAGATTATCAAGTCCAACCATTAACTTTACACTACCAAGTGCACCACTAAACAATGTCCCTAGGTACCTCATCCACATGTCTTTTAAATACTCCCAGATATCTTGGCTCCACCAGCTACCTGGGCAGCCTGTTCCAGTGCTTGACAACACTTTTGGTTCAGATTTTTCCTAATATCCAACCTATACCTGTCCTGGCACAACTTGAGGCCATTTCTTCTTGTCCTGTCACTTGTTACCTGGGAGAAGAGACTGACCCCCACCATGCTGCAGCCTCTTTCCAGGCGCTGTAGAGTGCAGTAAGGTTTCCCCAGAGCCTCCTTTTCTCCAGGCCAGACAACCCCAGTTCACTCACCCTCTCCTTATAAGACTTGTGCTCTCGACCCTTCACCAGCTTCATTGCCCTTCTTTAGACATGCTCCAGCACCTCAACGTCTTTTCTGTAGTGAGGGGGGAATGTTTCCTTCAGAGACTAAAGGATATATTCAAAAAGCTGACTGCTGTGTTTTAAACAAAGAAGAGAACTGTTTGGGGCAGTATCAGAGTCGTCTCCTTTTGGGATACCTGAGCTGACCTTGTTGTCAGGAGCCAGCCTTGGTGTCTGAAATGAGGCTTTCTCTCTAGACTTAATATGCATTGAAAAGTTCTCCTTGGTTTCTCCATGAATTTGCTCGCATTTACCTTAAAACCATGGTGCCATAGACAATTTAAATGGCATTTTTACATGAATTGACTTTCTGTAAGGTGTCTTCTTCACTTCTCTTTGTCAAAGTTTTGGTTGGGCTTTGGATTCTCCCTTCTGACATCCCACAGGGCCTTGAATATTGTGGTTTCCCATACTCTTTTGTCTTATCCTAATCTACAGTTCTGTTACATATCTCTTCTCTTATGAGCAGTGCTCAGACTGACTATTATCAAATTTATTTTGGACTTTGCATCATCTTTAAAACTTGTGTTTAATTTCTTTGGTTTTGCTTCTGAAAGCATGGACCTTCCTCACCTAAACCTCACATTCATTTCTTCTACACAGGCTGGATCCTGTATTCTGCTTCTCTTACTGCCCCTGCCACTGCTCCCTGGTTGCCTCTCTTAGCTCAGAGGAGGACCCATTTGATCTTGTTTTGTGTTTTTTTTCCAAGGAGCATTTTATAGCTTTTTGAATGAGGACAGAGGTTGCTAAAAGGAAAATCAGATAAATATTTTATGATGTTGTTTAGATGTTGTTATTTAGCTTTAAGGTTTTCTCTAACTTATTGCAATAGGCATCTAAAAGATTCACCTAACAAATTATCTTGGTTTTAGAAAAATGGGTTTGGGTCCTCATACAGCAAGGGACAAATTATGTTCTTATCTTGTGGTTTTAGAGAGAGTCTGAAAGTTGTAAGAAATAGGATATTTCTTATTTACACTGGAAATAGCCTTTATAAGGTTAATAACAGTTTGAATGCTGAATACACTGTGGAGGCAAACCTGATTTTGTGTGAGAAGAAAGATGTTATATGAAAGGCTTAAGAGTCTAGAGATTTTTATGACTTGTAAAATCTTATCTTTGATAAATAGCTAACTCCTTACTATGTTTGTGTAACTGCATGTTACTGCCCTGGTAACTATCCCCAGACATTTTCAGTTCTGTCCCAGACTTGTGCTTGCAAGTTACATGGGACCATAGCAATGAGAGGAAGAGAAGTCTTTTGTCTTAACTGATAAACAGCATGTCCAGCTTACTGGTGCACAGCAGTGACTTTTGACATCTTGGATATTTCTGTGTTATAGGGAGTCTTCCTTCATCTGTGGCTGAAGTTGAAGCAAACCTTAGGGGTTTGCATGTTTTTGGTGATGGTAGCCTGATGCACTTCAACACTTCATGATTTAAGTCACAATTTGTAAATAAAAAGGGCATAGAAGTACAGACTCCTACTGCATTAAACAAAGTGCTTGAGTGGGTAAACTACCTCTCACCTCACTCCCCCAGTGCTATACATGCTCATTTGTGTGGAATCTCCTTTTTGTTTGTTTAGTCTATTGGTCTGTCATGGTGTGTTGCTTTTTGAGTATGCTTTTGGTCAAGTAGACAGAAGTACAATTCTTAAACAGCATAGTTTATCATGTGACTCAAGTGTTGAAATCAACACCAGAAATTAAAAGAAAACAAAGCAAAAAAAATCCCTATTAAATGGCAATTTTTTTCTTTCTGTTGCTCCTATGAAGAATTCTGCAGAAGGAAACACTGTGTTTGTTTGTAATGAAAGAAAAGGCTCAGAAGAACAAGTGGACACACATCTTCAATGGCAGCTAAATCTCCTTACCCACATAGAGAATGTACAGAATGAAGTCACCAGCAGAATGGACCTGATTGAAAAAGAAGTTGATGGTAACTGCTTTGCCACATACTTGTTAATAGACCTGTAGCAGCATCTTTCATAGCCACAGTTTTGAAGGTGATCTGAGGTGATAAGGATGGATTTTTAAGTACTGTATTCAAATTTGGGTACCCAAAATTATAATCAGAGCTTCGACCCTTGATCTCCCCACCTCTTTCTGCGAGTTTTGAATGCCCAACAAAGTAGCTTAAACACTCAGGACCTCTGAAAGTTTAGCTCAAGTTTAGTTCAAGCCTAGTTACTAGGCAGACTTCAGAAAGCTCAGGTAACTTGTCTAGTCTCTGTCCACATATGGATCATAAAGTTGATGGATTTTTCAACACCTAGTGTTTTTGCCTTGATTATTCTAGTATTTGACAGTATTTAAGAAAATAAAAGAGACAATGTGGTCATACTGACTTCAGCCTTGGTATGCTGTATATTAGTATGTAATTGGCTTAAGGAAGACAAATCAGACGTCATGAAAAAATCTTGAAGTTATAGGAGTAAATATCACAGCACACAAGTTTATGCATCATTTTTAGAAATTAAGAATGAGTGGAGCTTTTTGTCTGTTCATAGGAGTCCTTAACTATCTTTTGGCAAATAACATTGTCTTATTCCTCTTTGCGGTTTTACTTGCAATATTCCTGCTTGTACTAGGCAATTTTTCTAGGCTACCAGGGTTGGCCTTTTCCTTTCTCTGTCTCCTTGAAAACATTTATTGAAGATTGGAAAACCATTCTGTAATGTGGGCCTGCCTTGTAAACAGGAGCCTGTTAAAGTGACAGGAGCAAGCCCTTCATTTAAGGATTGCATTTTCTGTGGCAGAACTGTCGTAGCTAGATGATCATGAACTGAGGTTTCTTTCATGTGTGTAGGTGGTAAATTGTTAACCAAGGGTGTAATTGGCTCCCAGTATTTCTTAATAGTAACAATCAAATCAGAAGATCTGTTTGAGGGAAACACTGAATTAGTTGGTGTTTCCCTAATAAAAACTTCCTCTCTTAAATAAAAATCACAGCTTCAGTGCATTACCCCTTCTTATAGAAGACAGAAAAGTTTAATTTTTATGGAAAATGTTTCTCGAAGACTTATTCTAACGAACTTCTTCCTTTTCCTTCTGTAGTTTTAGAAAGCTGGCTTGATTTCACTGGAGAACTGGAACCACCAGATCCTCTGGCAAGATTGCCTCAGCTCAAGCGACGTATCAAACAGCTCTTGATTGACATGGGGAAAGTACAGCAAATAGCAACGCTTTGCTCTGTATGACAAAAGGAAGGAGAAATACAAATAGGTTCTTTACAACGAATTTTCTTACTAGCCACAAGACTGACAGGAAGACGGAAAAAGCTGAGCATTTATCTGGTTCTTTGCTGATTACATTAATAGCCTGAAGCTTTAGAGAGAGGAGAGGAAATTTAGAGTAAGGTTTCTGTTATATTGAAAACCCAAATATTCAGTGTCCAAACTTCAAAATGTAATGTTACATACTGAGAAAAGCTGACTTTGCAAAAAAAAGTTATACAAAACCTCTGCAAAGAGCAATGCTATTTTGAAACCTTTGGCAAAACCCTCTAAATTAGCAGAATTCAGCTGACTGAAAATTCTTGGGAACTGCTTTTTTAGTGAATTCTCTTATCGTGCTAGTGAAAGATAGACACAGAGAGATCTGTATCCTCTCTACAAGGAAGGTTTTTAGATTATTTCCTTCTCTCACGAATGTTCAGGAAAACAAGCATACTAGCTTTGATTTTTGAAGGAAGTTACTTGTCATGGTCTCCTTTTTAAAATATTTTTTTAAATAGAAATCCTTATTACAGTACCCTTAGGCTCCTTTAAAACAGAAGTGGCAAATAGTGGTCAGATGTGCCAAATAATAAAACCACTGGGTTGAGAGTTTGATTATGACTTACACGAAGGTTTTTTTTCAGAAGTCCTACTTGGTGCCAGCAATCCACTGAAAATTGTATCTAGTTTATATTTTTTTATGTTCCATTGCAGTATTTGGGATTCAGTTTTTGTCCTGGGTAGCTCTGTTCTGTTTTGGCCCTCTGAAACTTTACCATCCTCAGCTGGGATGAGGAACGACAAGAGCAGCAAAACTGTCTGTGACTGTGAATATGTTAAACCACTAGAATAAACATCCCGAGACACATGATCCAAGGTGTTTTTGTAAAGTCTTTCAGCTTCAGTGAACGAAATGTCATGAAACCAAAGGCAACCTCCTTGCTCTGTTAGCTCTTGCTGGATTTTAAGCCCAGGACTCTCCGTGTGCTTGTCCGTTGCCGCTGTGCCCAGTGCTACACACACGTTTGTATGTGTATGTATATGTGTATAGACACACATGTACAGATATACATACTATACACATTTATAGCTACACATGTCTAGTTTTGTTACAATAGATTATAAGAACTGGTGGTTAACACAAAATGTTACCTTTTAACAAGCAGTTTCTAAAATTGAAAATAATGTATGTACAGGTTTTGAAATTTGTAAAATATGACTGTTAAAAGGAGGCTATTTAACTGATGACATTAAGATACTTGAACCTTTTATGCCTCAAGTCTGTTTATCAGTTCTAGTTATCTGTATAAATGCATTTTAGAACCGATAGACAGTAAACTTGAATTTACATTTTGATAAAAGTACAAGCCACTGTACATTCAAAAATTATTTAAATTTGCAAACACACTGTTCTATATGTAAGGTACTGTATGTAAAACTGTTTATTAAAACTATTCTGCATACTCTACATTTTCACTTTTCTTCCTGATCTACATACAACTGTAAAAAAAGATGTGATTGTTATAATGTACAGACCATCAAAAATCAAAAAAAAAATCTCAGAATGCCTTTTGAGGATGCATAAAATTGAAAAATGTGCCAAAGATGGATTATCTGGGAAAGACTTTGCAACCAGTGCATTGAACTTTCATGATAAAACCATTGTAGAGAAAGAAAGCAGCATGGCTGGTTCATTGCTCAAATAAACCTACCCTGACATTTCCTGTCTGTCTATCCTCTCTGAAGTGTGTTATCACTCTCCATGTCCAAAGCAAAATGTAAACCCCTGTTACTGAGTGGTTGCTATTTAGAAGGCCTTGCCACGTGAGGCTTGTAGGAGTCAGTAGAGAGCTGCATGCTAACACTGAAGTTAATTATGGAATCGTGATTGGCAACTTTGTAATGCAGAAAGAACACAAGAGCTGAAGAGTTGTTGACATTTTTATAGCAACTGTTAAGAAATAAAATACTCTGTTATATAGTTGGATGCTTAAATAACTGCTTCAAACAATATGAATAGTTGAGTGACCTACTTGCTTTTGGATATGTGAGACTTTGATGTTATTCACTTGCTGCATATCCTTGAATGTGGTACTGTGTACTGTATAAGAGAAGTGTAAATCCAGATGAATTACTTTGAAACAAAGTGGAGTGTATTTACATGATTTATACAGCATACACTGTAGTGACATTATGCAATGTGTGTGGTGTAACAGAACTGTGTTACTGGAGGTGGGGCTGAACTGAGAGGGTCCAGGGGAGGATGGATGTTTCATTCTTAGTGCAGAGATGGAGGAAAGGTATCCTGAGAAAGAAATCATAGCGTCAAAGTTCAAGTTGCTCTCTCAGCTTTAACTTGTCCTCTCTGTATGTAATGGTCTCTAAATTTACATGAGTATGTAATTTCATCCCTCAGGATCCCGCCTTATTCAGGACGGGCTGTACTTACAAAAACAATCTATTCAGTATTTTTTTATCTTCATTTCTTATGTAGTCACGTATTATAAAAAATCCTGCAAGCGTAAGAAATACAATCTGTGTCCTTATGGGCAGTGCTATGGTCCATTGTGTATTGCTCCAGTGCTTCACAAACTTGTCTGAGTTTGCTTTCTCAAATTGTGATGTTAATCTGTAGCATGTCAACATGAGTTTTGGGCCCTGTTCCTCAAGTAGTCAAAGGTTTGGGATGCTTCTGAAGCTTTTTTTCTTTAAACACTTAAAGTCAAGTGCCATAAAAATACTAAGTGTTTTGCACAGAATGTAACCTACAGTTGATTGCTTTGCTCCTGTGCCAGTCAAGGCTGATGTGGTCTGGCTCGTACCAGTATTTCTTCCACTTGGCCTTATGGAGAGAATCTTTCTCCTGTAGCCACCCCTTCCCATCTGTCTTCCTGCTGCCTCGGTAAATAAGCCAGAGGTTTACACACAGTCTGTCTGCAACATCATTTATCAGAGCAAGAGCTGCAATGGCTCGTGCTCTGTGAGGAGGGAGGCAGCACCTCTCTGAGGGGGAAATAGCATTTGCCTGTGTCTTCTCATACGTGTGTACAGAAAGGGAAAAGCTTCACGTTTGCAACCTTCTTTTACCTTACTCTGAGTTCTTAATAGTAATAAACAAAAGGGAAATGCCATTGTACAGAAGCTTCTTCTGACTTCCCAGGGCTAAGTGGTGAACTTGTGGAGCCTTTAAACGCCCAGCTTTTTGTCCGAGGGTTGATTCTTTCGTGAAGATATCAGGGTGATTCCTTTCAAAGCCTTCTCCTTCCTGTGATCATACTGTAGGCTTCTATATCAGCAATTCTGGATTTTCAGTTGCAGTGATGGCAATAGGACATCAGTATTGAAGTCCTGACTGAAGGTCTTGGGGACAAGATCAGATACCATATGATGGGGCTGTTTGTTTCAGTTACAAAATGGAGGCACTTTGAGTCATGGCATGGAATGGATGTGCAGATTCTTCCTTCTGACCCTTTTCTTGGGTCGCTGTAGGTTGAGTAGTGCCCATAATTTGGATATTTGGGTCTTCATAGATCTTTGGTCTGCAGTTGAGTAATTTACAGTGGTAGAAGTCTGTTGTCCTCTTCAAAGATGGTGGGTTGCAGTTTTCTGTTAGATTTCACATTTGCTGAGTGGCAAAGAATTGAATTTTTATTTTCCATGGACACAGTCTTCTTGTATGGCTCAAAGCCACCTATTCTCTTGGTTTTTGTCTCTAAGCTTCCACATGTGCTCCTCATCTGTTCTGCAGCTTGCCTTTTTTTTTCCTTTTGTTCTTCAACTTTCTGCACTCTGGCTTCTTCTGTGATGCCTGGAGGGTTTCACTCCTGTTGTTGTGCCCAGTTCTGCTGTGGGAAGCAGTGGGAGGGAGAGGTCTCCTCTTCTGTCCTCTACCTCCGTTGTGTCCTATGAGCTTAGGCAGCTGAAGTGAGTGTACCACGATCAAAATCTTCAGATGTTTTTGCTGCCTTCCTTTAGTGAGCTTTTTCTAGTCTTGTACAAGTTGTCATCTCCCTCTGCTCCCACCCGGCTTCTAAATTAACTAGACTTGAATGAACATGACAGCAGAACCCCTCTGGCACTGCTGGGCTCCAGCACTCCTTATCAAACTGAAGGCTGGGATGTAAGGGACTTGCTCGAACATACTTGCAAACCAGAGTACTTTCCTTTGTATTCAAAGGGAAACTGCAACTGCTTTTCTTCACTTAAACTTTAAAAGGCAGAGAACAGCTCCTGAGCTGCGCTGGAGCTCCATGTAAAACATCCCCAGGAGCAGGGGGTGGGAAGCACCCTGCAAACAGGGGCTCCATAAGGAGTGTGCAGTGGGGCCACCTCGGCTGCCCTGCCCTGTCCACGGTCACCTGGAGGTGCTGGTGGGTGAAGAGGGTGCATGCAGTGAGGCTGTTGCTTTGCAGGTGGAACCCCTCTTTGCCAAGCTGGTTTGTAACACCAGGACTGTGGATTTTCTCTATACTGCTTAGAAATTTTACAGTACATGCACCTTAATTTTGGAGTGCTTATTAAGGTCAGAAGCTCAATCACTTCTGAAATGCCTGTTGTATTCTCACATTCTGTTAGCTGATGCTTTTTGTTCTGTTGTACTGAGTCCATATGGCTTTAGAGGATCATTTTACAGAGAATGTTTGAAATAGTAATGATTTTTATTGTATGATGTTATGTCCTGGGCACTGGGTGTGGGGGTCTGTCTTTAGCAATAAGTATTATACACTATGTGTATATCTGTTTATATATGGAAAACAAATGTGGAGCATGTAATGAAGGTGAAAATACACTGCACAGAGAGCAGATTGTGCGTTTGGCAGCCACTCTGCACCAGCCTGAACAACTCCAACAAAAAATTGGAAACCACACAGAGAATGAACTAGCCTGAAAAACCATTGAGGAGTGAATTTCCCCTTCCATACAGACTGGGCCTGTATGTCATCAGTAGATGGGCCAGCCTTGTTCTACGAATTTAATAACTACAGCTAGTTCAGTTGCTGTTTACTCCAAACAGCAGCCTTCTTTCTTTAAAATTAGCCAGAGCCACCTCCGTTCAGCTGTAGCCATGTGCATCAGTGTATTGTCACTAAACACTCTGAGAGAGGCAGCAGTGCACTATTATTAAATCTTCTATCAGAGAAGCAAAATACTTTCTTCTGTGATTTGTTTGTTTTGTTTTGTTTTGTTTTGTTTTTTTAATAATAGCAATAATGTTGACTGCATTCTAATACAATAAAGGTCTGTTGAGATTATGTGCCTGGGCTTCCATTCAGTGGACTTTTGTTTTGGTGAGCTTGTGTATGTTATAAAGCATTAGGGGGTCTTCAGTTGCATTTTTAGCCTGTATTCAAGAAGTTACATGTAGTCATTGATACTCATTTATTTGTACACGTTGTAAAGCTTTAGGGAATCCTCCGTCACATCGTAGCCTCTAGGCAAATTATGCAGTCAATGAATTATTTACAGCACTGAATTACAGTGTGGCAGAGTAATTTAGGAGATTTTTCTGATTCTAAACTGCTTTGGTGTTTAACAATTTCAGGGTTTGAGTTTGTGCAGCACACTTGATTCTTAAAAGACAGTATCTTTCAATCCATGCATTCACAGTAATGCCATCTCTTCCTGCGGGCAGACGTCTGACTTCTAAGGGTGGTTCCAGTTTTGTGCCTTTGTACAACGTCATTGCAAAATTTCAATTGCTTTTAGTGATTTATTTTAATACTGCCTATAAACTGTTGTTCAGGATGCCACTGTAGTAAGAAAACAGTGCTAAAAAAGTTCTCCCCCTTGACATGCTGTGTGTCAGGGCATAAACAACAGGCAGCACATGAATGAAATCAGAATCTCAATGAGTTACTAATACAGAGAAATTCTTTTGTTCACAGCAATACCAGATATGATTATAACCATAGCAAATTTCAAAATTTTAATTCTGAAACGGATACTTTAGTCATTGTGGAAGGACGGTCTCTCAGCTTTAAGATATAAGGCCAAATTCAGATCCTGGAGTAATGCACTGAAACAATTTTTCTGACTCAGACCAAACATCTGGTCAGCTCAGTGTCTTATCTTCAGTAGAAGCACAATGTCAGCATCTGTAGAAAATCACTGACTATAACAGAGCTGCCAAATTGGTCTTTCCTTTAATATGTCTTTCACTTCAGTTAAATTGGTTTCCTTGACCAAAATCTTGATGAAAGTGATCGATTGTATCAGTCACTGACACCTGTACTCCATGAGTTTTCCCATTCATTTCTCTCCAGGACATCAGGTGGCACAGGGAACTCCACAGCTTTGTTCTGTGGCAGGAGACATTGTGCTTGTCCTTGAACTCACCTTCTGACTCCGCTGGCTATGTGCTGTTGCCTTCAGTACAGACAAGGTTAAGTGTTGCATTATCAAAGAACAGAAGTACCTTTGAGCTGCCCCCAGCAGGAGCTGAGCACCCTGTTGCTGTGCTGGCTGCATCAGCTTGCTGTTGTGCAGTGCTGAATCCTCTCAGTGTGTGAATCAACCCTTCAGGCCGCTGCAGGTTGCAGCCCTGACTTCTGCTTGGGGTTTCAGGAGAATCTGCATCCCAGGTGTTGTGGGAATGAAATATTTTTCTACCTTGCATCACTGTCATGCTGTTAGATAGAGGAAAAATGTTTTCTCTCTAATGGATAAGTAAGAAAAAAAGCTATTTTAGGTCTCCTAGAAATGGTTAGTTTCTGGAGGGACAAAGGCAAATTCAATTATTCTTACACAGGCTTCTTTAGGTTCTTTTCTCACCAGAGGTACTTTGCCATCTGGCAAATTATAATACAATAATACAAAAAAAAAAAAAAGAACCCTGAGCAGCCCTCTGTCCACTTTTCTGAACTAGCCAAGTTTAGTATAGAACTTACTGGAGCTTTCCCATCATTCTTTCAATATGAAGAATGTCATGCATGAAGTGACTGAAACGTGTATCATCTGGTTGGCCCATGTGTTTTTCCTTGTCATCTTTTAATTTTACATCACACGAGCACTTTTCAAAACTTAATCAGAGATTACAGAGTTGCTAAGTGCTTCACAAGGTCTTGCCTGTGCCAAAATCATGTGGAGGAGATTGAGACATGTTAGTCTGTTTTTACATAGTTTTCTTAAAATACGTAAGAGGATTATTCAATATTAGTGATTTAACTCAGAAAAGCAGTTCATTATTTAAAAATAAATGAACTAATTTATAAGGGCATAATTTCACAATGTTTTGAGCTCTTGAAATGTTTGCTTCCAATTTGCTGCGACACTCAGGAGGCTCCCTTGATTTTGTTTCTTAAACTAAGCTTGACTTCTCAGGCTTGAGTTTTGTTTGGGTGAGAGCAGCTTTTCTGTGAGTATAGATGTTTGTGTGTTCATATACAAGAATCATTTGCCCTTGGGCTTTCCACTGTGTAAAAATCACAGTTGCACAGAGCATCTTTTCTGCTAAGAAAGTGTATGCAAAACTGGAGCAATGAATAAATGGCATGTAAATGGTAAACCCTTGAGGTTTGTGATTTCAATGTTTCATCACACTCATGTTTTTCTTTCCCCCAGCAACTGTAGTCTAGATTGAGCAGCCTTTTGCCAATGTGTACAGCAAGCTAACTCCTCATTTCTCACACTAGAGCAATGATTTTGAAGACGTTAGTTTTAAAGCCATATTGACCACGAGGACCTTTTTCATTTACTCCTTTAACCCCCTTCACTGTTGAGCTAATTTAAGATATTCTTCCATCTTTACTCAGATGCTAAAGATAGAGGTTGGTTCTGTTGTCCCTTCACCGAAGGTTATGTGGTGAGGTTTTTCTTAATTTGAATTAGACCAGCCATAGATGACAAGTGCCTCTTTTTCTCTGAATGTGGATTGTGCATATTGCTCTGCAAACTACTTTTTTTTTTTTTCTTTTTTAATCCATGGGCTATTGCACCCCGTTGAACCTGCATTTGCAGAGCTGCCAGTCTTGGTTTGACGCACATCTAGAAATGGTTTAAGTGCCAAAAGTCCCTTTCACACTGTTTTTTAAGAGTCTTTTAAGACTTGGCTGTTCTTCCCAACTTGCATAGTTCAGAGGTTGTATTCTGAGAAAAATAAAAGTAGTCTTGGGATTCAGCCCTATGTAGATATGGCAGACTTGTGCTTCTTTCTGTTAGTAATGGCCCTTTGATACCTCCTTGCTTTCCTGTCTGTGTTACTCAGTTGACCTTTGCTAGGAAAGAATAAAGGAGGAAAGTGAATAGCTACCTTCATAAGTTTGCTTCTCCCCCCATTTGCTGTGCAACAACCCTGGATGACATTTTTTAATAACTTTAGAATATTAGACTGAATCAGCACCTCACACGTGCCCCCAGCACACACTCTGGACGTGTGTTTCAGTGCCTTGGAGATGTTCTCATGTAGGCACCAACCCCCCTGCCCCTGCAGGGCTCGTGACACTGGGCTGGTCTGTCCCTTCTTGCTCTCCTGTAACTGCCCCACTGCACTGGGGTCAGGCATGAACCTGAGGCTCTTAAAGCATAACTGAGTCAGAAATACTCAATGCAAATGTCACAGTCAAACTTTTCCACCTTTCCTGGTTCAGCCCCCTAGTGCTAATGCTGGCTATCCTCTGTGCAACCAATTCCTTTGCTCTGGGTGTACTTTTCCCTGCAAATGCTCATCCAGAAATTAATTTTATTTCTGTGCCTGCTTAATCAGGGCTGTTACAGGACTTTTCTTCTTTGTGTCTCTGAAGATTAGGGGGTTTAGGTCTGTCGTCTACACTGGGTGTGTTTTTAATCTTTTCCTAGCTTGATCTTCTTGCAGACTATCAACTTTGTTCAAGTCTGGAGTAGATTGCTTGAAAGTAAAATCCAGATATAGTCCCACTCACTTTAAAAGGGCTTATTATGTTAAAGCAGGCTTGTGCTGCTGTTTGAGATCACATTGACCATATATATTAAACACCGTAGCACTGCAGTGGTCCACAGCCCACACAGAAGGGTGTTTGGATTATTATTTAGCTAATTATTCTGGGCCCATTTATTCAACCACTTCTACACAAGTGAGGGTGAGTTCTCCATAATTCCTGGTGCAAATAAATGCTGCTAAGAGGTGAACAAGCAAGACGTGATTCTCTGGAACCAAGGAAATACATGTTTTAGGTTGTTGATATGTTTTAGGTTGAACATCTTGTATGTAATTAGTACCAAAAGCTGTGCTTAATGGTTACACCAATGTTACACTTGGAAGGTGAAGCCCAAGAAGCTGAGAGGCTCCCTGTCAGATTCTTGGCTGTATTAAAGTGCATGTTGCAAGTGGGAGTAAAAGCAAAAAGCTGAGTGGCATTTACTGTGACCCTCAATTCTCTTCATAGTCAGTGAAGGATGTATCCATCCTGTTTTTTCCTGTAATAAAACACATTATGAACTGTATTTACTCCTAGTGCTGCAGTGCTTGGAGGCCTAACCCTTGCCTGTCCCCTCGGTGGGCCAGGCTCTCTAGAAACAGAAGAAAGTGTACTTCTGGTACAGAGCACAAGGTCCTGTTGTGCCACAGCACAGGTGAGGGCAGGAGCTCTCGGCTGGGTCATGCCGACACGCTGAAGCTGCACATTGATTTGACTAAGTCCCCCCTGCCACCCCCAGTGCTTGCTGCTGCCTGTTCTCCTCTCCGCTGGCTGGGCCCAGGAGTGCTCCCTGGAGCAGGGATGAGAACTGGCTGAGGAGGACCATGAGGGTCACGCCAGGTGAACAGGCCTCTTGAGGTTTTCTCAGAAGCATCGTGTGCGTCACTCACCCAATCTCGTGGCCAGTCTACCAGCACCTAAGTGAGCCCCTCCTCACGGGGGTTGCTATAAAAAGGCAGGTGAAGGCTACACGGGTGTGCAGGCTACCTAAGACAACAGGGGATGGGGCTCTCCCATCGCGGGATGGGCGCCATCCCATTCTGCACCCTTCTTTGCTGCCTTCTCAGTGTAGCAGCAGCCAATATATTTGGTAAGTTCTCTTGTTCTTTTCCTTTGCCTGTGCCCAGCAGTGTTCCCGTGCTCTTGGTGCTGCTCTGGGTGTTATTCTGATGATGTATGTAGCAATCTTGAATCTTATACATGGTAAACTTAGCTAGTGATTGTGTGCTGTGCGAAGTGAGTTTGAGCTCCAGGTTAAATACTGAGTTACATGGATTTTTAAATGGTCATGGTCACCTGAGTTCAGTGCATCTGGATTTCATGTGGGAAAAAGAAAAGTTTTCTGGAAGAACAGGCTGGGCTAGAGAAGGGACTTGGGTAAGAAAAAGTGGTGCAGCAGTCATGTGAAGTTCCTAAGATTATGTCTTCTGCCTGTGTGTGCTATCATCTACTTTAGGCTTGAGCCTTGAGGTACTGGATAGTCTGTGTCATCCCCTGTTCTTTGACCCTGCACAGCAAGCAATTTGAATCATGGAATTAGTCTCTGAACTGAGATGTCTTAACAGACCCTCTGTAGCACTGTGCACAGGGATTCCACACATCCCAGGGTGACTGGCTCAGAGTCACGTGTGGGATGAAAACGGTGACGTTTGCCTACGTGTGAATGCCTGTGGATGAGCTAACCCAAAATCTCTTTGCAGTCTCATGAAAATTTTCACATGGGCTTAAGAAGAGACAGTAAAAACTCACAGAAACAGAAGTGATTGAGAGGTCTTAGGTGCACAGGAACCATCTGTGGTTAAAGAAGTCCCTCAGCTGCAAATTACTGGAGGTTGAAAAGTGTTCAGAATGCTATGGGATATTTGTGTTACTGTTTGGTCACGATCAGACCAAATAATGGATTAAGTGAACCTTTGGTCTAAATCACTGCAGTTATGGTTTTTTTTTTGTTGTTTTGTTTTGTTTGGTTTTGTTCTGTTTGGTTTTGTTTGTTTGTTTGTTTGTCTGTTTGTTTGTTTGTCTGTTTGTTTGTTTGTTGTTTTTAATGTTTGTTTGTTTTTGTGTTTTGTTTGTTTTTCTGTTGGTTTTTATATATTATTTTTTTCCTGTATTTTTATAGAGCTAGTCAGTGGAGTTAAGAGCATAACATTCATTGGACTCTGAGGATGGGGAAAGTATCAGATCAACTAATCTATTCTGTAAAAAAGAACCTACTGAATTTCATCCTTCTCTTAAAACAGCATCCAAATGTGGCTTTAGATGCACTGAGAACTGAAGAGTCGACTCTTTTCTCGTTAGGTGTCTTTAGAAGTTGATAACTTGTTCCAGTAACAATAAAAAAGCATTCCTAATATGAATTAGTCTGATGCTACCTGCTAGATATTGATTCTTTTTAGGTCTTTCATGAGATTAAGAAGGAATTCCTCTCCTTTAGGTGGAATAGTGAGTGACTTATCTTCGATAAAGAATAAATACTCAGAAACATTCATAGTGTGGTTATGGCAAAGGGCTGTTTTGTGGAGAGAGGCACTACTAAGTCTGAGTAAGTGAAGTACTCCAGGTGCCAGAAGGTGATGGGCATACCAGCACAGATCAGAGCTCACTCACTGAATAGAGGCCTGGGGCAGGCATTCATGAGCATCTCCATCGTGTGCTTGTCCTGCAGCTGGCAGCCCAGCGAGTTGGTTCAGTACCTCCTTGTGCTGTCCCATGCAGAAATGCACACAATGAGTGAAAAACCTGGGAGTGTTGCCACACAGTGTTGGCGCTAATAGGGTTTGGATAAGAACAGCTTGTGGTGAAACCATCTTTACATGTTTACCTTCTTGCTGCTTGCAGAATATCAGACAGATTCCCAACCATTGCGTCCATGTGAACTTCAGAGGGAAAAGGCTTTTTCAGAAGGGGAAACCTATGTTCCTCAGTGCTCAGAAGATGGCCAGTTCAGGTACTTCATCCCTGCTATTTTTCTGCTATTAGACAATGTGACATTTCATTGCTAATAGAAGCTTTAGCCTCCCTTTTGAAGACCCTCCATATGGGTATACTGGAGGGTGAGGGGTGCAAGTGACTCAAAGTGACTTCATTGAGTCATGTTGCAGATCCAGCCTCTCCTGAATGAATTACTTGTTGCTGGAAATAACCTCTGGGCTAAGAGGTCAATCTCAGATTAACAGGCTAATCTTGGTAGCATTATTTGCACATTAAATACTTGGTGCAGGTTGTTGAGTAATGCAACTCCTTTCCTCTCACACGTGCTCCTAAGGGTATGGTTTGTGATCAGTGTGTCAGATGGCACAGCTGAGCCAAGCTGACTTGGAGAAGTTATCCACCCTGCTGTAAGTGGCACAGTTGGGTTTCCCTCTAAAGGCAGTAAAGGAACTAAAAAAAAAAAACACATGGAAAGCAGTGATTTAGAGAACAGTACATATTGTAAAGTTCTCTACTATTATCCTACTGTTGTTGCCTTGGGTGGGGGACTTCAACCAGTCTAGATTTGACTTAGAAAATGTCTCACAATATATGGATAAATCTCAAATACTGAGAACCAGGGTTCTGTCCAACCTGCTTGCTTCCTGAATGACTTTGAGTCACTTACCTGCAATTTCTGAAGACTTCAGAGAATTAGTAGAATTAAGAGCTCCCATCAGGTAGAGTTAGTCACCAGAAGCACAGCCCTCTTGGATTCCATTATTTTTGATGTTAAAGTACTTGAACTTGTTCAGCTTGCTTTATATTTTTGTTTATCCCACGCTGACTGTCACTACAGCCTAAAATATGTTACTTGTGATCTCCTTCAGGACAGTTCAGTGCACTAGGGATGGTCTTTCCTGTTGGTGTGTGGATGAGAATGGCGTTGAGGTACCTGGCAGCAAACAGAAGGGATATCCCACATCTTGTAAGTCACAAGATTTATTTTTGTTCAGATTGAGTAAAGTACTATTTAGATCTGCTTTTGAACTGCTGAAATGAAGAAAAAGTTAACTTTAATGGCCTCTGATTTGTTGTAGTTTGCTGGGTCTTTCTAGTGGAAGTTTTGGAGTATTTTTAGGGCTGATCATGGAAATCTGGTAGACCCGGGTGGTCTGTATTTATGAAGATCATAGTAATATAAATCATGAATGAAAGACCAACTTAGTGTGTTGGCCTTTGAGCTGGAGAGCTTCAGCCTCATCTGTGCTGCGTTTCTCTACATAAACTCAAGTCCATATATATGTCCTTATGCCACCTGGGTGGCAGAGTCGGAACTTGTGGCTCTGAGGGAACTCAGATGTTATCTTAATAAATGATTTGGTGCCCAGCAGGTACTTTCTTCTAACAGTGCCCCTCTCTGGGACTACAGGTTTATCCTTTTGCCAGCTGCAAAAGCAGAAGATCTTGGTGAGTCGATACATCAACAGCAGCAGCATCTCCTACGTACCTCAGTGCCTGGATTCAGGGGCCTTTGATGCAGTGCAGTGTGACACAGAGCTGGGTCAGTGCTGGTGTGTAGACCCAGAAGGAATGGAGATTTATGGCACCAGACAGAGAGGAAAGCCAAAGCACTGTAAGTAATGCTCAACGAAATGGTGGGTTTTGTAGATTTGAAGGGTTTGGTGTGAGTAGGTGGTAGATCAGCAGCTTGGACACTGCAGCCTACACTTTCCTATGGAAATACAGGTGCTTAACTGAGGCATTTGAATCCCTGTTTTGTAGAATCACAGAATATCTCAAGTTGAGAGGGACCCATAAAGATCATTGAGCCCAACTCCCTGCTCCTCTTAAAGACAATGCGAGGCTCCTAGGTGTCCATGTTCAAAGTGATGAATCTAAACCCCTTCCAAACCATAGGGTGGCTGTTCAACTGACTGTGGGAAGTTAAAACACCAGTAAACATTCATCTTGGCTCCTCTTCAGGTCCAGGGAACTGCGAGATCCGAGACCGCCGCATTCTGCATGGGTTTGGGGAGAAGAGCCCACCACAGTGCTCAGCAGATGGAGAGTTTCTGCCAGTCCAGTGCAAGTTTGTCAACACTACAGACATGATGTTTTTTGATCTTGTTCATAGTTATAACAGGTAAGAGAGAAAGCTTCTGAAACAGGAAAACAATCCTGCACACCCTCTCAAGTCACTGCCTTACTGCTTTTCTTTTTTCCACATGAAGTCCTTCTGTGACTGCACATGGCATTTTCTATTAATGAATGTACCAAGTAAAAAACCTTTTTCTTCTGAATTAAATCTGCTTATTTAGAAACAACCAATATTCTGTTCTTGCAGCCTAATCTGTGTGTCCCCACACAGCAGCAGATACCACACTGGGATCTGTACTTGGAAAATTAGCCAGGGCTGCTTTTCAGACAGAGGTACAACACCAAATGAGATAAATGTGCAAGGAGCAGAGGAATTCGGATATATCTATGAGGTAGGAAAGATGAAAACAGATGGACAGACAGACAAGTGGCAACATACAAAGAGCAAGTTCCATGTGACGATGGGAAACTCTCATCATTTAGCCAGTGCCAGTTGTGATCACACAGGTGAACAAGTGAGTGGGCACGGTGGCTGGATTTGGGTGGTTGGAGTGGGCTTCAAAAGACTGCACCAAATCCTTCTCCATGGAGGCAAGAAGCTGTTGTCCTGTGGAGGAGCTGGGAATTAATGCTCAGGTGGAGAAATAAGGGATGGGCAGGGGGAGTGCAGGGAGAGGAGTTTGTTTTGGTGCAGATGTTCGGACTATCCAGAGAAACCTTTTGGTCTCTTGTGAAGTGGTTATCTTGGCATCCCAATCAACACACTTCTCCAGTGGAGGGCAGTGGAGTAAACCTGATATCTTGTTCTGACTTGGCTTTCTAGTAGCAAAGGCATTTTATAGTAAATGTCAGTTTTGGTGATTAGAGGGTTTTCTTTCCTAACTTAAGGAAAACTGAAAGGCAGGCCCAAATGCACAGTGCAATTTTTTCAGAGTTTCAGGAGAGTTTATTTTGGCAAGAGCAAAATAATCTCCCATTTTCATTTGTTGGCCTGCAGAGTGTGGAAATTCTATAAGAGCAATTACAGAAGAGAAAGCAATGCTTTAAATTTTTTTTTTTTTTTTCTCCCATTGGGAGATTTGTCTGCAAAGGTCTGCAGAGATTGAGCTTTTCTTGGGTCCATGTCATGTAATTAATCACAGCAGGATCATTTCACTCCCAGCTGTCTACCTTTCTAATTATGGCATTGTCTTAACCCGTTACCAGCATTTCTGGATACCTCAGGTCATCAACAGAAAAACTCTCACACTATTCCTGCCTGAAATGTCATTATCCTGTCCCATAAACAGGAAGCCAGAATATGGAGCTCAGGGGATGAGTTCCACAGCAAAGAACTACAGTAGAGCAGGGGTTTAAACCCCTAGTTTATGTTCATGTGGAACCAATGGAGCAGTTTGCTTTGGTTCCACGGACTGATTTTTGAAATCTAGACATGTCACACTAACTCCCTTCCCAAATCCTTTCTCTACACCTTCATAAATATTCCAGAATACATCACTATGTTAAAATAATAATAACAACAATAATA